ATATTTTTTGTTTTTTTTTTTTTTCTCTTCTTCTCTTGTTTTTAAATTTTTTTTTGCCAGCGAGTTTAATATTTTTTAAAAATTCATCCCTTCCCTTTTTTCTTTTTTTGCTAAAATTTTTTATTTTGTTTTTTTTTTTAATTTATTAAGGAAATTTTTTTTTTTTTTTTTTTTTTTTTTCATTAAAAATTACATTGCATTGGTCGCTATTGCAACCAATTAATAATAAAAAGACAAGCAGACGAAATCTGTAGCAAGGCTACTGGTAAACAAAGACGCCTCTAGTCTAGACATTTGGCTGTAATCATTGTGATGAGAACCTTGTAGCCCTTAGCTCACTGGGGAACATAGGGTTAATATAACAGTTTCTCAAGCACATAAAAAGAGAGAGAATGAAGCCACAGGGAGGAGAAGGCTTCCAGTGAATTACAAACCCCATGAAAAGTCACGTAACTAAATAAAGCCCTCAGTAAAAATAAACAAACAACAAGATGGCGTAATAAGGGGGGACAAAGCCCTGTGGCAGGAAATTAGCGACCTCGGGTTATGCGCAAAAAATAACACAAACCTCACCTATCGCTCCACTACCGTGGTAGAGCAAAAGTATTGGCAAAGCCTTTTTTGTCTCCCCAGCGCAGCACGGGCTCGATCGGACGAGATGAAGGCAAAGAAGTAAGATAGCTGGACACTAGCGATGCCACAAGCTTGGAGGAAGGCGCTTCGCAGACTTAACTGCTCCACAGCGAATGACCCCAAATGTTTATCGATATATTTCAAAAGGAGATGCCTCCAAAGGGAGGGGGTGTGAAATTTTCGAATGTCTCCTATCATGCAAAAGTAAAGGCGCACAAGAGCCAAAGGCTGACACGGCCGGAGCTTATATCCGGTTTCCGTAGCATGAAGCAAGCCAAGGAGTATTGCTACTCCCCCCTGGACGGGATGCTAGTCCATTGCAGGGTTACCCCACAGCAGTATGTCGCCTGTACCCTTTTATACGCCTGGGTGAAGAGAGACAAAGTGGAGTAAAGTTCCTTGCCTAAGGAAACAACGCGACGGGCGAGGCTTTAACACTGGACCTCCAGATCCAGAGTTCGAGGTGTTGACCGCTCGGCTACACATGCCTCCTCCTATTTTGCAAGCTGACTGAATAATGACCAGGTGTGGCAAGCCACAGAATTTAACAGCACTAAAGACAGTGTCTCCAATCTGAAGCAATGAATATAGATGTACTGTAAGCTACCTAGACTTACGGCGATAAACGACTAGCTAGCCAAGACGATAAGCCTTTAAAGCGAGGACCAATCCATGCAGTGCTAATTTTTTTTTTTGTAGACAGGCACGCGATAGATTACGATACTTCTAGCCATGAAAGGCTTCTGTTTATAGCTAAAAGAATAGAGTTCGTTCACAGAATGAATCACCAGACCACAAAATACAATCGACCTTTAATATCTGGTAGTCTTACTCTGCCTCTCCCTTTAACTGCATTTACCACGTAGGAAATGTCTTACAAAAACAACAACAACTACAACTTAGTAACAAATAATTTTTTTTTTGAACTTATCTTCTCTTCTCTAGTTCTAGCTGAAAGTTTTCCCCTCCAACCTAATGAAATGTACTCAAACAGGGGCTCCTGACTCAAAAAATTATTTTACAGGCTCGAGGTACAAAGAGGCTCTGGTGACTGGTGAGTCTAAAGTGATCACTTTGGCATAATTGAAATTCTGGTTAAACGAGAAAATGCGGTCCATCCTGTGCACGTTTTTGTTTCCTTTGGGTTTTTGTTTGCATGAATTTTTTTAGCGAAAATCGCTGTGGCTATATAGCCGGTAACCGGTCAAGGTGTTGAAAACACTAAATGGCCGGCAGTCTCATATTCTCGGTAAATTTCACAAAATCAAAAAAAATTCTAGCTAATCTAAACTATCATATGTCGATTAAGACAAGTCAAGCGATCCTGAAATGCTCTTTACGCTGGGCTCCGATGACGAAACCATGTTTTGTGACACTGGAATTTTTTGATTTGTGAAATTTACTGAGAATATAGAACTGCCGGCCATTTAGTGTGTTGAAAACCTTGACCGGCAGTCGAACTGAAAAAAGTTTCAAGTGTCACAAAACACGGTTTCGTCTTCTGAGTCCAGCGTAAACCAAACACTAGACTTGAGATCTATAAAGCATTGTAGGATCACTTGACTTGTCTTAATCGACATATGATAGTTTAGATTAGCTAGAATCTTTCGATTTTGTGAAATTTACCGAGAATATGGGACTGCCGGTCATTTAGTATTTTTAACACCTTGACCGGTTACCGGCCATATAGATTCAACTCAGGTTTGAACAACGAACATTTCCTATCGGCATGATTTTATTTGTTTTTTTCCCTCACATCACTTTTCTAATGATCCGTCCCTTATCATGAATGAGAACTGCCATTTGTTTTCAGTTTCAAACCTGAGTTGAATCAATTTCGCATCAAAAATGGCAAAGTGAGTTTCTTAAATGTTCAAAACTGAGAGATGCTGTAGTTATTTTTAGTGCTGGATGCGCATTGGTCAGTTTAGCTGGCAGCCACACTCCCCCTCAATTTAACAAGTGGCGCGGTCACTAATTGACCTCTCGAAACATGTGGAAAGTCGATGCAATCGACAATTTATAACCCATGATCGAGAAAATTTTAGGCGTTATAGCCTTATCTCTCGGGAAAAAAGCGACTGTTTATGCTGTCGGAAGGGTGAGTACCATCTATCCTTATTTTAAACAGTCTTATGATCTTTGCCTCCCCCGATTCGTCGTGAAGTGTCGCGTGCACCTTACCTTGATCGATACGCTTGCTGAATTCACCTTTTGATATATTTCCCGTTTGCTAAAGAACACAAAACCTAGTGTCATTAGGTAGTTTAACAATTACTTAAAGAAATGGCTGAGTTTTTTTGTCTTTGCGGAGTATTAAATAAAAAGGGTAAAAAGGCTACTTTCATTTTTGGAAGGAATTTTATAATTGTGGTGATGTAATACTAGCTAGATTTTACAGAGGCTATAATTTAAGCTTATGTGTAGAAATACTGAGGTTTAGTTCTAATGTTCATTTTATACTGGTAGATGCCGTTCGGGATTTTTTTCAGCGGCAGGGAATACAATTTTTTTTATCTGACGTAGAAACTCGTTGAAATCTGGGCTGAACAGTAAGATATTCAGACATGTAGGTTAAAGACAATTTACGTGTATCAGTCAGATCAAAGTATGGGTGTTTCAGTGACTCAGCACTGTCCGATCAGGGGCACCCAACGGCAATTTTCGGGAAAATATCTGTTCTGAAGACGATTTGAGAACTAGAATTTTCGGAACATTTGTTGTAAAATTTCTTGCTTGCCTGCCTCTCCTAGGATTTTCGAACATCTACAAAATGGTATAATTACCCATTTTAAACGGATATTTACCCTAAAAAAGGCCACCTAGAATTTTCGGGAGCCTTTTCCTGGCTGAAATTTTCGAAAAGGTAAGTTTTGATCCCTATAATTTTCGGATCACTAGACTTTCAGCTTGGAAATCCGAACAGATGAAAAGTTTTTTAGGGGATAAAAATATGCCTATATCTACCGTTTAAATACTAAAATACGCTCAACAATGCTATGTTAAGTGGTTTTGAACTATATCCTCGTTGGGTGCCCCTGTCCGATCGACAACAGAGCCAAAGAAAATTAAAAGATGTGGCACATCTATAGGAAACAGAGCTGGATTGTGAGGAGAGCCCCACTAGAATTATGAAGTTTCATTTTAATGGGAGCAGTTGAGCCATTTAAAAAAAATTGCCCTGTTATTTGTGCTTGTGAACCATGCAAGCCTGTTCTTCTTTCTTCTTGCAAGTAAAGTAGATGCTGTATGAAAGCAGGATTTTCTTTAACAGGGCAGGAGAAAACCCATGTCCAAATTGCATGGGGCAAGTAAATTTTGATCTTGGGCAAATGAAGATAGCAGTTTGGTCACCCAGTCAATTTTGTTCCCAAACAGGACAAGGGTAGCGCAGACTCTGGGAACGAGATTGGTCGCCCAGTGGGCAATTGATCATGTAACTCTGTCTGAAAGTGTCAGCTTAGTAAATGATAATTAGGTTATTCCAGAAAAAATCCACACCCCCACGACGGAAGGCATGCTGGAAAATCTCACGGGAGGGGGGGTTAACGGCTCTGGAAATTCAGACGGGAGGGGGGCTCTGAATCTAAAAATACATCCTGGGGGGTAACTTTCAATTTCATCGATGTTTCAATTGCTTTAATCGATAAGTTTTATGAAAATTGCTTTGCCCTTTCAAATTTTATTATTCTTTCAAACTACAGACCTCTTACGACATTTATTTTAAGTTTCCATCGATAGGCTCACCCTCGTTACTTTTGTAGAAGCGACGTGCAATAACTTGAATATATCAAGAAAAATTGCATAATTCATAAAAAAGCGCTCAATGCAACGAAAGCAAACAATGATTTTACCTTGAATTAAACATTTTTCCGAGGTCAATGCTATTTCAGGGTGATTTACCACTAAACACGCCTTACAAGTAAGCGTGGTTATGTTGTTCGAGATTGTTCGGCGGCCATTTTGAAAGGCAAGTGTTTAGCGCGTCATGTAATATCCCCCCAAGTGTCCTTTTTCCTTCTTTCGCCGTCATTTTTTATCGACAAAGAAGAGAACCATTTATTCGACCATTTATTGTAGTATATATTGCTGTATATTTTGCCTGTTTTAAAAAAAATAGAGAAGTTCCCTCAAATATGAGCTCATTTGCAAAAAGTGTAAGCCTGGTTAAGAACACACGAACTTTCACAACAAACACAGAATTCACGGAAAATTGAGACTTATTTTATAAAAGGATCAGCTAAGTGCCTAAAAGGATTCTTCTACATTGAGTGTAAATTAAAATTACCGTGTCTAACAATTTTATGGAAATCCAGATGGGTGGGGGGTCTTTGAACTTGGAAATCCTGAGGGGAGGGGGGCTCAAGCAGTTTTGGAAATCCAGGTGGAAGGGGGGGTCAAAAAACCGTGCCTTCCGTCGTGGGGGTGTGGATTTTTTCTGGAATAACCCATTTCCAGACAGAAACTATTTCAAAACTGACGACTGCAAGATGAGTGGCACAATTAGTTGAATATGAATTTTGTTACTCCTGCGATCACTATATTGATCAAATCCAGTAGTTTCTCTGTATCTGACACAGCATTGAAGTACTAGTAGTTTTATACACTTTGTTATAACCTATACCAGGGTCTGAAATTAACTTTTTAATACGAGCGCCAACTGGCGATCAAGTTAACCTGAGATCAGGCTCTATTTTCGTTTTGCTTTGTTAATAACATTCCGGCGGGCATGGCGAAACAAAAAGAGAGCCTGATACAAACCTTCTACAAAATGTCTGCCGCCCACTTTTTTGATTGATTGACATTTGCCGAATCAGCCAACCAAAATTGCTTCCGTTGCTTGTTTTTCTAGTATGCAAATTTTTCACGCGTGGGAAAAATGCAGACTGGCTGACTTAAAAAATAGCTTTTATCTGTTAATTTTTTCAGCTAAAAATAAAACAGTCAGCACAATCACATTTAACTTCTTGCAAGATTAAGGGGGATCTCGAAGGTTATTTCCGTTGGCATAGAAGGCAAAAAGTTTTCAAAAAGACCGCGACATGATGTTCTACTAGTTTTATTATTTTTGGCTAGGCGCGCTCGAATTTAAAATACTGAAATTTCTATTTCTCCGTTGCCTTGATATTTTCTTCGGCAATTTCCCCCGATTTTCAGTACATAAATCTTTAAAAACAAAAGCAAACAGACAACAAGTGAGGACACCAGTTTTCCTGGTTTATTTTTTACGAAAAGTGAAGGCAAACAACCAGTCTGTTAACACTGAAAATTCCTTGAACAGCGATGCAATATTTTTCGTCTAATACTTCACAGTTGGCGATTGAGGGTTGTTTCACAGTGAGCCTCCGCTTGCGTACCCCGTTCACCCCGGCTAAACTTTCAAATGAAATCAGTTTTAAGGTGGACAGTATTTTGATTTGCACCCGTTTGTTGGTAAATCAAAAGGCACCTTGTTAGCAGTCAACAACTTGCAGAGGGATTCAACTCCGCAATACACTCACTTTCCGTCAATAAACCAAATCCTGAGAAGATATGAACTACCATATGAATTTCCTGAATTTCCATGGCACACATTAAGGCATATTTTCCTACCACAAGACCATAAAACAATAAAAAAGACAGCAAAATTGATCCTTCTCTTCGCCGACAACGGATCATTCATGAAAACAACCACGCAAGGAATAAGAGCTTTCAACTTCCAGCGTTTCCGACAGCCAAGCAGATCTTGTGTCATTTTTCTAACAGCCAATCAGCGTTACAGCCAAAATCTAATGAGCACAAACGTGAATGAGTTTGTATCAGGCCCAATTTCAGCAGTAGCCGTTAGAGAGAATGTATGAGAACCGCTCAAATTGGGCCTGATCTCAGGTTACAATCAAGTATAAATTTTTGGTCGCCAGAGGGCAAATTGTGGTCGCCAAAAATTTCCCCTCCCTTTCATTAAAATAAAAATTTAAAACGAATAAAAACGCATGGTAGGGACGTTTTTATGCTCAAAAATTCCACTACTTCCGCTTAAGCAGCCCGTACGTGTATGAGTGAAGTCTAACTTTTTCCACAAATTACTTTTTGGAGATAAAAAGCTATCTGACCTAGAATTTAAGAACAGAAAGCTATCTGCCCTTGACTGAACTGATCATGTCAAAAGGCTATTTTCTTCTGATAACTACCACGAAACATGAAACATAAACACAAGTCTGCCATGTTGCTCGAGCCAGGCCACAACCGTGGATATACGGGTACAGTATAATTCCACATACACAACGTACTTACCGTATTTCAGCTGAAAACAACATGGCAGCTTTGAAACGTTAAGCGTGTATTGATCATAGCTGTTGTGGAGGTATTTTTACACGAAGATTCGTTGGCAAATAGCTTCGAGGTTTCAATTCTTAATCATTTTCTCTGAATGAGAAAGTCCACAATAACAACCAGCTTTACAAGTTGCCAGCTGGCGACCAGCTATGAAATTGTGGTCGCCAGTACTGAATTTTCAGTCGCATTTGACGACCAGGAAGGTGCAATTTTGGACCCTGTATACCCTGTTACAGAAGGTACCTTAACTATAGAGGATAGGACATTGTATTACCTTTTGGCAAGTAATATTTCAGTAGAGGCAATTGAGAACTGAGTGGGCAAGTGGATTTCAATTTTTTTTCCTGCCCTGCATAAGCTCATGCAAGTGGCAAAAATTGAAGTTCTAGTTGTCTTGAAACTACCAGCTACTTACAGATTTCAAGTATTTTTCTTTACACTTTGTTTGAAGACCTGATAAATACTTGAAGATGTGCAAAAATCAATGTGTGGTAGTGATGGACATCCAAATATTTCTATTGTTACAGAAAAAACCACACATATTTCCAGATATTTCATGTAATTATTAATCTCTTTCTGGATACTAAGTGCATATTTGTTGTATGAGGTTCTTTTGTAGTTTCCTCTTGCATGCTACTGAATAGGATCCCTTAGGATTTAAAACCACTTTCTGTTTTTTTTTTGACTGACCACTAAATACAGATGAACCTCCACGTGTGACCACCTTCCTAAAACACCAAAAATGTTCTCACTCAAAGCCCTTTACTGGACCCTCTCATAAACAACCACCTCCCATAAATGACCGCAACCACTTTTACAGCTGACAGTTTTAGAATTTTCTATTGTTTTCACCCTCCGGTAAGCAACCACTTGACACATGGTCTTCCTAAACAGTGAAGTACATTGTAAAAATGGATGAAAAGGAATTTATTCTTTGGCTGTCATATTTGTCTACACATCTATTACTGTGTTTATTAGTTTGATCTATATCAACAGTATTAACCATTGCCCTTGAGAAAAAGACTTAGATTTCCAGGTTTCAGTTTAAGAAGTTAAGTTTTTGTTCAACAGACGTTTTAGGCACATTTCTGTACAAGAAGTTATGTACACAAATAAAATTCTTTAACCGCAAATTTATAATGCACAACATCTAATTGATTGCGCTTTCGTAAATGAACTGTCACATAGAATAGTTGATGATTTTGTCATAAAAACTACCAGTAATTGTCAGGGGAAAGTAAACTTTCAGTATTTTTTTAGAATAAAATTAATATATGACTCCATTCTAGGTTGACTTAAAAATTTCACCCTTGTGGTCTGACTCTCATAAGCGACCATCTCCCATAAGTGACCACCAACCCTTTGCATTTTGGGTGGCCGCTTACGGGAGGTTCGACTGTATATTAGAATTGGCTACCAGTTAAAAATATTTGGAAGTTGCCCCTAAAAAAGGCTATGTAAAAGAAAGGCAATGTTGGTGGATAAAGGCACCAGAAAAAAACCAAGGAGAAATAATATATTATAGTGAAACATCTTCTGTATTGAATTAATCTATGGATTGCTATGCAAGCTCAAAATTAGAACCTGCAGTGGGTAATGCTAAGGAAAGTAGGTTGTCCTGTCTGAGAAAGTCATTTCCATATTTGTAACTTTTTAGTAAAAGTAAATACAGTAGAACCCCAGTAACCCGAACTCTGAAGGGAAACAAAAAACAGTGCGAGTTAGCAGTGAATTCAAGTTATGGGGTAAATTTCAGTGAAATTTTGATAAAGGGAAGGGAAATTTAGTTCGAGTTAGCAGGGAATTCGAGTTTTTCGAGTTCGAGTTATCTTCTGCTGTAGTAAGCTTACATGGAACATCTTGTTTGCAAAAAATAATCTCTAAGGAAAGTGCACGCATACACAAGCTTATACTGTAATTATGTATTTTTTTTTCAAAGTACTATGGATTTCCACGACTTTATAGAAGATTTGCAGAATTTAACCAAAGAGTGACCTCAGACAGACAGGTCATTAGAAGGCGACAAGAAGCCATGAAATTTGCATTTAGAATTCCAAACAAGATTGTAGCATATTTCAGGTAGGTTTGTATTGATTTTAGAAGGAACTGGAGACAAACACCAAAAATTAGTGTGAAAGATACTGTTGTATTGTTTATTATGTAGTACAAGGTGGTCATAACTTTTGAGTTGAGACTTCTGAGTCTGTGACTGAAATCCTAAAATGTGACCATTCAAATGAAAGCTACTGAGCAATACTTTCCTGTGGTTCTGTTTATTATGCTGTACAAGGTGGTTCTAACTTTTGAGTCTGTGGGTGACATCCTAAAGTGTGACCATTCAAATGAAAGCTACTGAGCAGTACTTTCCTGTGGTCCTGTTTATTATGCTGTGCAAGGTGGTTCTAACTTTTTAGTCTGTGGGTGAAATCCTAAAGTGTGACCATTCAAATGTAAGCTACTGAGCTGTACTTTCCTGTAGTACTGTTTATTATGCTGTACGGGGTGGTTCTAACTTTTGAGTCTGAGGATGAAATCCTAAAGTGTGACCATTCAAATGAAAGCTACTGAGCAGTACTTTCCTGTGGTACTGTTTATTATGCTGTTCAAGGTGGTTCTAACTTTTGAGTCTGTGGGTGAAATCCTAAAGTGTGACCATTCAAATGTAAACTACTGAGCTGTACTTTCCTGTAGTACTGTTTATTATGCTGTACAAGGTGGTTCTAACTTTTGGGTCAGTGGGTGAAATACTACGTAAAAGTTACTAAGCAGCACTTTTTCTGTGGTACTGTTTATTTTGCTGTACAAGGTGGTTGAGTGACCTGTATAGTCAGTATATAGGCGAGCATGTATTTGGTGCAATTATTTTTTTTATTTTTCACTAACTGTACATGTTATCATTGCAACAAAAATCATAAAAGATCCTTAAGTAAAAGTATTCAAATGAAAGCTACTAAGTAGTACTCTTCTGTGGTACTGTTTATTATGCTGGGTGAGGTGGTTAAGTCAGTGTACTGTTATTACAAAACAAACTTTAGTATGAAAGGTAATTCCAGTACCATCCATAGAAGATTTATGGCTCTGGAAAGCCGACCTTTCAGGATTTGTTAAGTAGGATGTTACCCTTGGAAAGAGTAAGGAAAGTCCAGTCTGACGAAGGTACTCCTGTCAAAAATAAAAATGATTCATGGAAGCATATATTTAAATGAAGTTATGTAAAAATATATCAGTTAAAATAAATCGTATTTCAGTTCTCCAGAAACACCAGAAACCAGCAAAAACTGCTGTCCAGCTAAGTGACAGCTACTTGCAAAAAATAAAAATAAATAAATAGAGGAAATCATAAACGATTCATATTTCTTTCTCAACACTATCAGGCAGGGCTTCTGGTAGGTTGCGGAGAAAAAAGTTAAATTTTGCAGGGTTTTTCAGGGACAAATTTGGGGAAAAACTGGCTGATCTCATGGGATTTTTCCGGGAATTTTCAGGGTAGACTTCGTTGAGATACACTTGCTACTTTTAATGATAATCAGTTTAATTTAACTGCATACAAATTTAATTGCTTTACCACTTAAAAAAAATTCCACTTACTGTAAGTGATGGTCTTGGGTCAGGAAGAAAATGTAACATTTCCCTCATTTTCTCAAAGACTACTTGAGCTGTAAGGAAAAAGAAAACAAGGTTAATGATCAAACTTTCAGAACTTTCTGTTCATGTTATACAAAACTTTGAGACTCTACAATTAGACATACAGGTCCAAGAGGAAAATTATTTTTGTGTCCTTCTCTCAAACATCTGGGGGGAGGGAAGTACATTAGAAATTTTTGGGTGGGGATGTGCCACTGGGACCCTGGAACCCTTAGCCTATACCAGAGCTAGTTTAGCTGAATTTTGGTACCCTATACTAGACTAAACTCCCAATATCCCCCTGTATCCTAGAGTAGCTGTTTTCCAGAAACTACTGAGGTCAGTAGCATAGTCCAGCAAACAAAAAACCAGTTTTATTTTTTTATATTTTTGAGTGACAATTCCTGGTTTGAGGCTACTCTAGACTAAAATCTTCAACTGACTGATCAGGTTCCTGGAAATTGATACCCTACTGTAGTCCCTTACTCTCTCATTTATATACCCTATCCCAGAGTAAACCGCTTTAAAAACCATACCATTCCCAACGGCACAATTGCCTATATAGCCCATGCATGGCAGTACCCCCCACCTCCACCCCACAAACATCCCAGTAACCTTTTGGGCCCATAATTAAATATTCAAATCAAAATCTAAAGAACAAAAGTGCAGGTTGCATCTAAGAAATCAGTCCATTTCATTTTGTTAACTGATAGTTTTATCACATTATCTGCAAATTTTTAATATAAACAACAACAGCTTTCCAGGCTCATTAATAATTATCGGGGCTTACAAGAACTGGGCCTCTGGTAAGTAAAGTATACAAAATTCTTCTTCCCATCTCATTCTGCATCACACCTGCCTTGTCAATGTTCTAATGTTCAATAGTAGTCTACTGACACTGCATGACAAATTTGATTTACACCAAATTTACTCAGTGCAAATTTGGTGCAAAAAAGTGCAAACTAAGGCTAAATAAAGGACAAAGCTGGTAAATAGGGCATTTCCCCTCAAATTTACAACCCTGTGTAAACTGGCAAGCAAATGCGGCATTTACCATCTTGTGATTTTCCCCTAGTTTGCACTTTTTTGCACCATATTTGCACCGAGTGAGTTTGTACAAATCCAATTTTTCGTGCAGTGTGATCATCCCTAGCGTGAGTATCCCGTGTCAATAAAATAAGCCCCCCCTCCACTTCCCTTACCATTCTTCACTATTAATAAATCATGGAAGTCCTGTATTAATCAATCACGACTGTTAAACTTCGTGTGGACTGATCTGGGATGGTTTATTTGCCAACTGAAAGTTCAGATTTGATTCTGATCCTTGGCTGCGTGACCTCCAACCTTCTTGTACTTGAGCTTTTGCACTTTGTATTCTAGTTCTTTATGGAGAACTTCTACCATTGTCTTTTCTACATTAAATAAGCCTCCCCTCTCATATAAGCCACCCTTCTCTAATAAGCTCCCCCGTCAAATAAGCTTCAAATAAATAAGCCCTTCAGGGGCTTAATGGAGGATTTAAGGTAACAAAAATGGTAATTACGAGGTGAGCTGGTAAATGGCTTATCCCCATGCCACAGGGAGCGGCACTCTCTGCAGGTTATTCTGTCAAATGCTAAGTACCCTACCCCCGTGTACCCACACAACCCTTTTTGTTAAGATATTAATAGCTGCATAATTCTAGAAGGAGAATTTTCCAGCACATTGGTAAAATGTCACTGCTAACTATCAAACAAACCTTTTGGCTCAAATTTGTTTTGGTATTCCACTTTGTGGGCTGCATCAATCTTCTGTAATATTGTCTATAAAAATTAATAAAAATAAATAAATAAATAGTCAATAAAAATTAGAAGAATCTAGAAATACACCTTTTTCACGCTTTGAGGCTATTTTAAACACCCATAATCATTCTTCTGCATGATTTCTTTCAATTAAAATAGAACGGAGGTATATCAGTAAGCTTGAGTGTTTTGCACCGTTTATGCATAGCTACAAGCTTAAATTAAAAGTAAACAAACTTTTATTCTTACAGCATATTCTTTCTTGCAAAGTGGCTCTAGCTGAGAGCACAAAGTTAAAATCTCGATGGCTACATGGTCTGGAGAAAACTTGACTTTCCAAAGTGGCTCGTGGAGTCGAACTTCCACTAAAATTCGAAACCAAAACAGGTGAATTGCATAGCGTAAACAATGAGCAAGGTGATGGAAGAAAAACCTCACAAACCTTTGAATGACGGATCATAAGCAAGAGGTGCGCACAATGGCCCATTAAATATCAAAGGTCCTCTGTTCATATTTACAGCCTGATGCTATCTGTGGCTTGATTATTTGCGATTGAAGAAGGTTCCACAAAGAGAAGATATGACAGCTTTCACCGTTTATAATTGTCCTATATGAAGTACCTACTTATTTCAAATAGTTGACCGCTGACCGAGCTATGTGCTTTTACGGGGAAAACTCGATGGGAAGGTCGGTCAGTTTTTTCTTCTTGGGAGGGCCGGGGGAGAGGTATGTGTGATTTTATGATCTCATAAAGATGAACTCTTACCGATGTCAGTATTTTATTTATTTATTAGATAACATACCGTAAAATTCCGAAAATAAGCCCCCCGGGGCTTATATTTTTGGAAGGCCCTTTTTGAGGGGCTTATATTCGGAGGGGCTTATCCACGGAGGGAAATTTGCGTTTCAAAATCGATTGAGCTAGTCTTATAGTTAAAAGGAAATTTACCCTTTTTGCTTTGTTTTACTTTGTATTTGAGGGCAATTTCCTAGTACAAGCCCCCGGGGAGGCTTATAGTTGGAGGGGCGATTTAACGGAGGGCTTTTTGCGTTACGAGTTTGGGGGGCTTATAGTTGGAGGGGCGATTTAACGGAGGGCTTTTTGCGTTACGAGTTTGGGGGGCTTATATTTGGAGGGGCTAATACCTGGAGGGGCTTATTTTCGGAATTTTACGGTAATTTTAAAGGTGGTCCTATTCACAAGCCTTTTTGGCTTCCTTGGGCTCCCTTGCCTCGTGTTTTTTTTAAATTTTATCTGTATATTTTATGTGTATGGCAAAATGATAATAAAACAATAAGAAACTCATTATCTCAAGAAACGCTTTGTACGCAGCCTCGGCTTGAAAGTGAGGGTTTTTGGAACTCGTAAATGGCTTATTTCTTATGATCTCCCCCATTTCATCTGGTTCCAAGTCCCTCGCGATCACCTATACATAAAACTAAGGTGAAATCGGTGTTGGTGGCGATGATGACGACGATGACGATGCCAATAATTGTCATGAGTTGGTGATGATAATAATGAACAGTATTATGGCAAAATGGTTTTTATGTTAATAATGATGACGTACGGTAGTGCTGCTGATTATGATAATGATGATGACAAGGAAAATGATAACGCCAACGACGACTTATGATGTCAATGACAACAACAATAACCATGATAGTCACACCAGTCTAACAAATGTGTTAGCGACAGTGACAGCAAAGAGAAAAAAATGAGAATGGAGAGGAGAGGAAACAGATAAACGAAAACAGCGTTTCCTGATTCAGTGAAAGAAGGCGTTTCATTGTCGCGGGGGTGCTGGGGTAGGGGGGGGGGGTGACTTCAGGCCCCCTCCCCTTTTTTTGTGGGGGACACAGCCCTCTCCCCGCTTTTGTAGAATAATAAATAACTTTCTTTTGTTTTACCACTGTCAACTCATTATTACTTAAAAACATCACTTTGGAAAGTTCAAGTAAACTTCGACTCGTCTGTTTAAAAAAAGGAACAAGCAACGTAGCCGGTTGGATTAGGACATTTAATTCTTTTAACCGCACTTCTTCCCTCCCCGCCCCGACAAGCCCCCCCCATCCTTCTCCCCTCTCCGTCCACACATCCCACCACAACCCCCCACACATCTCGTCCGCAACCCCCACCCCCACATTTCCTACTTAGAGAAGCACAACAAATCCGTTGTTTTCCTACTTTTGAATCTGTACCTTAATAAATGTGGCTTGATATGTGCTTTATTGCCTTGAGACACCATTTGAAATACTTTTTATCATCAGTAATCAGATTCTCATATCAACTAAAAGCAACAGTCATGTTTAGCTGATAAGCGAACGCGGTTGCCCAGCCCATAGCTGTTATGCGCAGCAGTCATAAAAAGCTAAAAACGGAACACCCTGTTTTTGTGAATCAAGAACGTTTCCTTTGACAACGACCTTATGCTAGTTTCAACCAATTGTGTATAAAATCCATAGTGCGTGCAGCACTTTTTATATCGGCTCGTGATCACGTGGAACCCAAAGTAAGTAGCTGTGTTTCTTCGAGTTATTTAGTTCATTTGATTTGAGCGTGATGTGCAAAGAGTCTGCACACAAAGCAGGTCCCAGTTGTTCAAAAACTGGATACTGCTATCCAGCGGATAGGTATTCTGGAAACTAATTGACTTATCCATTGGATAGAGATCAATCCATCGGATAGCGCTATCCACCTTTTGAATAACTGGGGCCTGATCAATTGTAATGTTGATGTGCGCACAGAATCGCATCCCAGGCCATCTTCAGATGAAGAAGGTCAAGAAGGAATCTGCTTCGAGCAAAGAAATATCTCTACCATATCTCAGTCGCCGTTCCACACACCATCACAAACAACCACAAACTAAAAAAAGTCCCTTCAGAAAGGCAATTTTGTTAACTGAGCACGCCACTAGCTTGCGTTGCAGGCGGACTTGTCAGACTGTCTGCGACGCAGGTTACACGCCACTTGCCTAGGGCTTTACTCAAAGAATGCCGCCTACGTTAAGATATCGTAACTGTATAATTCAACCGAAAATTAACCACTATCCTTTTTTTGAGGTCTGGCACTATTTGTAGGGGACTTATGGTAGGCTTAAGTTTGTGTAGACTGCGAACAGTTGCGAATCGTCTCGTGTAACATCACCTTTAGGAAGTGAACGCGCTCGCGAGTGTCGAGAGACGAGAGAAACGAGGTCGGCAGCCCGAGAAGAAAAAAATCTCTCTTTTTTCGTGCCTCTCCCGTCTAGCGCCTTCAGTCGCGCCCGTGGTCATTTGTGTGTGTCGCGCTTGTCGCTATACGGACTAAGAATAAAGAGAGACGGCTCGTATTCTAAAGTTTGGGTTTCAAATTCAGCAAGGCCTGTAAATTGAAGGTTAAATGATGTCAGCAATTTTTCAATACTGGGTTGGGCTATCACATGTCATCAATGTCTCCCGCTTTTTGTCATGATTGACTCTGCTTAATCAAATCACTCACTTAATCAATCACTCAAAGGCTTAATCAAACAACCTAAAAATCGCATTTTGCCGATTTTTTCACCGAATTTTACATTAAATGGTCAGACTTGACTGTTTTATACTAAAAAGTGGGTTTTCTCAAAAAAACTTGGTACTTTGCTTAACCCATTCACCCCTAAAAATTTTACTAAAAAACGCGTTTTGAAGCTAGTCGATCGGTTTTCTGGTCACCGTCGTGCTAGGCGATAAAACTTAGCACAAGGCCGTTTACAGGTCGTGCACTTCGCGACCTTCTGTTCCACTGAGATGCTCGCTTGAGAAGCATGCGTAGAAAGCAAAATTTCAAGATTTTGGGGTTTAAAAGTGACCATTAAAAACCGGTGACGTCACAAGCAGTAGAGGGGACGTGGATCCGCACTGGCGGTTACGAGCGGTTCAGGGGCGAATGGGTTGATAGAATATGCATGATGGCTAGCAAAAAGCGATAATAGTCAAAGGCTTAAAGACGATATAATAAATATTAAACAGTCTTTCATCCCTCTCCCCCCCGACTCACCATATCCACTCCCACCCATACCGTACCTGGGAGTCCTGGAAGGTATTCCCATGGAATCGGTTCCGAGGGAGTCTGGGAACTACGTCAAACAACTCCTGTAAGATTTTGAAAACGAACAATAACCATTCTGCGCGTTACTTTCACAACATTTCACGACATAGAAATACGCTTAATGGTAGGTACCTTGGAAGATCTTTCACTTTCATTGCTAACGGAAACCTTCATCTGCCTACAGATACTTTCAAAACGGGCTAAATTTGCTTAGACAACTAAAAGTATGCTTTTAATTCTGGCACCAATTTGTCACGGGCGTGCGCGAAGAAAGCGCATGAAAGAAAGGAACGAACAAGCGCTTCACGAACTTGTTTTAACACACTGAGATCATCCTAGAAAACATACAATCAACAGAGTTATTTCTTGGGAAGTCTATGTTTAACATCACTGATTATTTCCCAGTTTTTCACTAGCAGAAATCATAGAAACAATGTAAATTTAAGAGTGAATTTCATGCTTTAAAAGGCAACGTTCTACAGTAGCTTTCTTGTGAACTGTCCCACAGGCTTCTTCTTATTACATCCTTATCCAAAAATATGTCACGTCCACTTCCAGTGCCCTGCTGTTCTCCAGTAGAAGTGCCCTGCAAAACGAGGGGAAAAAATAGGTAAGTCTTATTCACCAATTAATTTTACTAAAGAACTTGAGAGCAAATGCAACTGTACACTGTTGTTGTGTTGCAAAGGTCATAAGTTGTAAGTAGTTAGATTATATGTAGAAGTCTCTTATGTGTCAGAATTATTCACTATAAGGAGTGATTGAGAATACCTAGCCTACTAAATGTGTTACTTGAAAAACTGCTCCAGTAGTACTNTTGCTTAGACAACTAAAAGTATGCTTTTAATTCTGGCACCAATTTGTCACGGGCGTGCGCGAAGAAAGCGCATGAAAGAAAGGAACGAACAAGCGCTTCACGAACTTGTTTTAACACACTGAGATCATCCTAGAAAACATACAATCAACAGAGTTATTTCTTGGGAAGTCTATGTTTAACATCACTGATTATTTCCCAGTTTTTCACTAGCAGAAATCATAGAAACAATGTAAATTTAAGAGTGAATTTCATGCTTTAAAAGGCAACGTTCTACAGTAGCTTTCTTGTGAACTGTCCCACAGGCTTCTTCTTATTACATCCTTATCCAAAAATATGTCACGTCCACTTCCAGTGCCCTGCTGTTCTCCAGTAGAAGTGCCCTGCAAAACGAGGGGAAAAAATAGGTAAGTCTTATTCACCAATTAATTTTACTAAAGAACTTGAGAGCAAATGCAACTGTACACTGTTGTTGTGTTGCAAAGGTCATAAGTTGTAAGTAGTTAGATTATATGTAGAAGTCTCTTATGTGTCAGAATTATTCACTATAAGGAGTGATTGAGAATACCTAGCCTACTAAATGTGTTACTTGAAAAACTGCTCCAGTAGTACTGCAGTCCTACAGGCCCGCAGTCTTGCACTCTTGTTCTAGTATTCCAAATACTTAAATCTAAGTGAGTAAAATGAGTGCTTCTGCAGTCCCGCACTCCTGCAGTTGATGAATAATGATAATTAAGTGGGCATACAACTAGCGCTCCGGCAGTCCCGCACTCCAGTGGTCCATGTCAGAATTTATTTTGCAAATTGGACAACTGCGGGACTGCAGAAGTAGTTTTTTTAAGTCAGATGTTTAGTGGGTCAGATATTAATTTATGATCTACCGTAAAATTCCGAAAATAAGCCCCGGGGCTTATATTTTTCAAAGGCTCTTTTTGAGAGGCTTATTTTTGGAGGGGCTTATATTCGAAGGGCTTATCTACGGAGGGAAATTTGCGTTTCAAACTTGATTGGGGTAGCCTTATAGTTGGAAGTAAATTTACTGTTTTGGCTTTGTTTGACTTTATATTTGAGGGCAATTTTCCAAGTACAAGCCCCCGGGGGGCTTATATTTGGACGGGCGATTTAACGGAGGGTTTTTTGCGTTATGAGTTTGGGGGGCTTATATTTGGAGGGGCTTATACATGGACGGGCTTATTTTAGGAATTTTACAGTATTTTTCTCGGTGAGGATCTACTGGGCTTCAATCATGTTTTGCTCTCTTTTTTTGTATCTTGTAATACCTCTTTGAAGCCTGTTTGTGATTTGGCCAAATTTCAGCAACTTTGAAAAATTCCTTTTTTCTTTTTGCATAAAAAATTTCCCAAGTGAGAAAAAACCAAAAAAACAAAACACAGTCACAAGTTTATTTTAACCTGATCCATGTCTCCATGTTCAGTTGAAAATGACGATGAAACAAATGAATCACAAACCAGCTGTTTTATGAAAAGATTTAGGAAAGTGACCAAACATTTTTGGGCCCAAGAGAATATCATCTACCAGTAACGAACATAACATTGAATCAAGACAGATAGATCTTTGTTTATAGTGTAATTGAAACTCGTTAGTGAAGCCTAATTACTTATTTGCACCAGTTGATGCCCATCTCTGGCCTCTTAACACCTAGTGAATGGTCTAGATCTTGCCGATACAATGAGCAGTTTTAACCCTTTCACTGTCAAGGGCAACATTGAGCAAAAGTCAAGAACAATCACAAATGTCATTAAAGAAAATACTGACAAACAAAAAACACCATGTTCCATGAAAATGGCAACACCATACTTAAGATTTTATCCACTGGTTTAATATTTGGGAAACTGCTTTAAATGTTCTGCTGAAAATGGGGAAAAAAACTAAAACTTGTTTACCCATGAAGCACTTAGGAGTTCTCAAGAATTTAATTAAAAATGATAGTGTGCTGCTGCTCAATTTGGAATTTGGAGGTGTGTTTTCAGTGCCGGATCCAGACCTTGAGATAAGGGGGGAGGGGGAGGGCCGGTCATACATACATGTTTTATGTATTTGGAGTCTTATATAATAAATAGTATATCATCCAGACCCTTAGATGAGGGGGGGGGGGGGGGGGGCAACCAAAAATTTTTTTTTGGGCCCTTGGGGGCCCCGTTTTGTCTAAAAATAAAGGGGGGGGGGGGGCCCCGGGCCCCCCCCCCCGCCCCCCCCCCCGCTTCCAATTTTCGTGTTTTACCCCCCCTTTTTCACCCCCCCTTTACCCACAAAAGTTTTTCAGCCCTTCGGGCCTCAGTTTGGTCTAAAAATAGTGGGGGGAGGTGGGTCGCCCTCCCCTGGATCCGCCACTGCTTTTTCTTGTTTAAGAGAGGAAAAATACACCAGGAACACCCAAAGAAAAAACCCGTCTCTGCAAAGAAGGGAACTAACACAAACTCAACCCACAACCCAGGCCACATTTGTGGGAGATGAATGTTTTCAACTTTGTGGCACCCCTCTCTAATTGAATCAGTAATTTAAGAGTCAAGATAAAAGAAACATTAGCACAAGAAAATACTTTTTAGCTTGTGCTCAACTTCTGCTTACTTAGATAAGTGTCACAGTGCTTACTGCTACTGATTTGGGGATAAAATAATAAAATTAAAAAGTCGTCACAGGCTATTTTGCGAATAAAGACACAATAGAGTTATTACTGTATGAATTTTGTTAATGACTTAAAAGTGGAACTTTGTTGATGTTAGATTTGGACCATGATTCCTTAAGGTCGGTACACACTAGGCAACAAGTGGCAGCAACATGTCGCAACGACACGTCGCAGTAACAAATCGCTTCATGTGTACTGGAGACATTTTGTGAAAATCTTTGTCTCTGCAACAGAATTTTGTCGCAGCGACATGTTGCAAAAAATCAAATCAAACAATTGGTGCAACTTGTTGCAGCAACAAAATTCTGTTGCAGAGACAAAGATTTTCACAAGATTTCCCCATTACACATGAAGCGATTTGTCGCTGCAATGTGTCGCCGCAACATGTTGCTGCAACTTGTTGCCGAACCTGTACACACCAAGACTTAGTGATCTGTCGACGCAACTTGTCGCCTAGTGTGTACCGACCTTTAGGTGTGGTGCATGACTTGAGTTTCTGTAGCATGAGGTGACTGGGATAATTTGTTGGGTGTTTTTCCCAACTGATTTGTTACCAAGGGAGACAGATATTTGTTAATACTACATCTGAGAATTTAGGATGGTGATCAAATGCTTGGCTATAGAAATGTGATATTTTGTCAGCTAAGATATTTTTCTTTTTTCATCTTCCTTTGTTGTTTAATGTTATTTCTGGGTATGGCAGGTCGGTCTACTGTCATTATGTATAAAGAGTGGCTCCCTAGACAGTGCCTTGGACTAAATGTTATTGGAGGTGTTTCGTCCATACTATTATTCTTAAAATTAAATCTCGCTGCCTTTCTTTAATTTGGTTACTAATACAATGTCTGGTAAATGGGCATTGGTAAATGGGTTTAATGTCTACTTCTTGTGATGTCAAGTTTGATAACCATAGCTACATATGAATGACACTGGGTTTTGCAGTTGAAAGAGGTTCTGATAACAAATCATCTTTGAAAAAAAAAATATGGTAAGCATTATACAAGTGGCATTCAGTCACCTGCCTTCCTCTGGCCCTCTTTTTATTATGCATTATTTGATGGCCTCATTATTTTGTCCTAGTAGCTCCTCTAGCTAGCTAACATTTTACTGCTTCTCTGTTAGTGAAATGTTGTGAAATTTACCTGTGCTCAAATATGGGCCTGGTGACTGAGAGCAGTTTTTAGGGCAAAGGCAGTGCCTTAATTTCTCAGCTGTTTAACCCTTTAGGTCATGAGAGTGAACGACATCAATTTTCTCCTAACAACATCAGCAGATCATTAAGAGTAAAGGTTATGAGAATTACTAAATTGATTACCAAAGGGAGAATGATTTGATCTTAAACCAAATTCTGTCAACTATTCTTAAAACAAATGTATGGAAATCAATCTGGAGAATGTGTATTTGGATCTTGGGGTTTAAAGGGTTAAAGACCCTGAGTATTGCTCCAGCACCGGGGATCGAACCCATGCCTTCAGGCTCCTGCTCTACAATTAAGTGCTCTACCGACTGAGCTAATCCTGCTGTGGTCAAGCAGCACATACATTTAGCCTATATATGGTCTGTGTACGACAGTACCCTCTACCCTCTCTCTGCTTGGTTTCTCTCAAAAATCGTCTATCCATTAGAAATATGCTTTTTGCTATTTATGCTATTAACTCCAAAATTGTATGCTATGGAATGAGTCTAGAAACAGTTTAACATTTCAGTCTTGTGCTGAATACTTTTTTTATAACAGCTGAACTGTACTCATCCACTGTACACTAGCCATCTCACCGGCAATTTTCTGAAATAGTTTCTGGGAGGGAGGGTTCTTTCCATGCAGTCACAAAATGACTATTCGTCACTACCCATCACCCCGCCTTTCTCCCCAGCCATCAGCCCTTGCCCCTGTGGACACACTCCTATAACTTCATCTATGCGATTACACAGTCAAATCTGGTTAATACAGACACTGAGGCGTTGTCAGTAAAGCGGGGTTTGTCTATAGTACTTTTTGTGGAAAATAAAATTTGCTATGATGGTCTATTGGTTTTACTATGTTTAAAATAGCAAAACACTTTGTGGACTTTTCTTTCGTACCACATGATCCATTCTCCCATCCCCAGAAGCCTCTTGGGATCTCCAGTAAACCTATTAGCTAAATTAGTTAGCTCGAGATGTCTAATTTCTGTTGAACATACACTGTACAAAATCACATTTCCTGATGCTAAACTAATAAGAAAAGAAAAGATATTTTCAGAACAGATTTTCTCAGTCCACTTTCTTCCACTCTACCAGAGTCAGGATTGATCAATTATTTGGAAATATCAGATTTGTGTACCTGTTGCTCGAGAATTTATGACTCGACTGTTTGGTTTGCATTTTTCTAGTGTACAGTGGGAGAGGGATGGTGGTTCATGCTAGTTGTGATAAATGTAATATCAATGTGGTTAAATTTTATCTGCTTACATGTACAACAAAAATATGATTATAGCCATCCACCTTCTAAGCAGATCCCCTTGATGTGTCCTCAAATAATAATTATCAACATTGAGTTTCTCATTGTGGTTTTACTACATTGTCTAAAGCACCACTGTCTCCACTGTATAAAAATTCACTTTATTCAAACACTGTTCATACAGATAACAAAAATCCATAATCAACTGAAATAGTTAAAGTACTGAAAAGCAATTGGCACCATACGAAGTATTATTGAAGAGGTTGCATTTGAATGGTCGCACCATAAGGTTTCTTCCACAGACTCCAAATTAGAACTACGTACTAAATTTTAAAATGATACCATGTGAAAGTACTGCTGAAATGGTTTGTTTGAATGGTAGCACTATATATAGGGTTTCATCCACAGATTCAAAATTCGAACTACAGACAAAACAGATGCTTCCGTGTTAAAGTAGTTAGAACTACATGCAAAACAGATGGTACCGTATGAAAATACTGCTAAAGAAGTTTCATTTGAATTGTGACACCATAGGATTTCATCCACGTAGTCAAAAGTTAAAACTACTTACGAGGTACTCTGTTTATCAGGTTTCAAACTTTCTGAAATCTCTTTGGAGGACAACATCCCCAACCAAAAATTCCCACTTTTTATAACTAGCGAAACTGTTCTACACGTGTAAATTTTGATCTTCCAGTTACATGTTTTACAGCAAAGATTCATCCACAACATGGAACGTTTGTAGGTATCGTTAAGGCTCAAAAAAGGAAACTGTTTAATAAAGTATTTTCACTCACGTGACCAGCGTCTATGCAAATTTATTGGAACAAAAGAAAGCGTTTGCCTAAGAAAAGAGATCAACTCCCACAGGACCGGTTTGGAACACCAACATGGCCGCCGTGACGTCATGTGAAAACGCTCTTTTGTGTGTATGGCTGATGACGGGTAGGATCAAAAAATGAAGAGCGTCTAGCCAATATTTTAATGTTTGAGTTATTTGAAAAAAAAAAAAGGCTTGAACCATTCATGTCAAAATTTAAATTCTCATTTGTTGCCCTTATACACTTCCTATACCAAAAGTGGGGAGAAGGTGTTGAAGTGTCAACATAATTCATCTTGTGTGTTCGTGTCCTTAATTCTCATCACCGCTCTGTTTTATAGGTCATCCATATTACGAGGAGAAATTTGATTTTGATCATCCCTGGGGCTTAAAGGGTTTAACGCCATTTGTCCAGTGGCTAGTTTGCCTTCGTAACTGTTACGTAGATTAAACGGAAATTCATATTAGAGACCTTTAGATTCTAAGACGAGAACGACCACGAGTACGGGATTTTCTCAATAGTAAGTAGTGCTCGCGCGCGAACCAACGTCATTTTGGCTGGAAAACATGGTAGCCGTCGTCATTCTACTACAAATTTTAGCCAGAGGGTCGAAGTGGCGGGAACAAGTTATCAAATGTTAGAAGTTTTAGCATTTTGCAATCTGGAGAGGACTCAACCTCCTTCAATAACGATAACAGTGCTAACTTTTCTGGTGAAAAAAAAGTACAATGAAGAATTCCGGGGTGTCTATTTATTGATAATACGCGAAAAAACTTGAAATCAAATCTCGTACTCGTAGTCGTTCTCGTCCTCGAACATAAAGGTCTGTATTCTCATTTGAACCCTTTCACTCTTAATTAATAGGAGCCAATGCACGAAAATTCACCAGAAAATGTAGAAATCATTCTGTAATGTCCTATAAAATAAATAGTACTATTCAAAAGTTCCTCCAAGGAGATTTCTTCATTGAATGGTTACGCCAAAGAATTTATCCGCAGATTTAAAAGTTAGAGCGACAATTCATCTCGCCAAAACTTGGTCTAGGAGTGAAAACTTGAGCCCCTATTTGTCAGAATTGACCTTTGTTTTACAGACTTATCTCTTCGTGTCAAATCAGGTTTTATACTAGATGCTTCATGGCTTTCTCTTTTTCGTTTCGCAAATATATTTTGCCACTATTTCTTTCCAAATCACTCCTGTAAATTCACTTTTGTAAGTTGTTTTTTGTCTGAAGTGTTCAATGCAACCCGTTTGAACAAAATTCCCACCGTCTGTTTCTCGCTATTTCTCTTCTGAACTCAATATTTGACCCTTTTTTATTTGTATTCGCCGGTTGTGGTATCTCATATCTACTAAACCACAAAGCAATTAAGCTGTGAACTGTTCAGATGGAACTATCGAACTCTAGAATCACTCATCGCATTACAGGTATTTTGACCGACGGGGCTTAACTATTGTTTCGCCATTTACCTATTTGCTTTCAATACTCTTTATCAAATACTAAAATCTACAAATTTACCTTTGCTAGCGTCCTTCCTTGTTTTTAACCGCCACTAGTCTTCCTCCTTCAACTTTGACTTCTGTAGAAAACACAAACAATTTATTCAGTTAATGGTTAAATTGCGAGTAATTTACCTCAGTCAATGTTGTGACTAGTGTAACTCTTGTCTTTTGAATTTGATTGTGTACCTTTCTGCAAATAATTGCAGTTCAAGAGCTTTTAAATTGTATTGTCAAGTTGCGTTGATATCAGATCCATGAATTCGACATGTTGTTAAAGGTGTTCCAACTTTCAAGTTAGTTGATTACGTCCTAAGTGAAATCGGGTAAAACTGAGCTAATGAGCAGTGCATTGCATTGTTGTAAAAAGCGGTTTTCTTATTCAAATGAAAGCTATTGAGCAGTACCCTTCTGCTCTACAAGGTGGTTCAAAAACTTGAGTCTGTGGATGAAATCCTAAAGTACTACCATTAAAATGAAAACTTATAAGGAGCATTTTCCTGTAGTGCTATTTATTTTGCTGTATAACGTGGCTCTATCTTTTTAGTTTGCAGTCATGAAATTCTTTGCTGTGACCATTCAAATGATAGCCATTAAGGAGCGGCTTGGACGAAAATCATGTTTTCAGCAGTCGAAAAACTTTGTCCAAGTTGTTTCTTTCACCTTCCTTATAAAGTGATGCGTTAAATCTCATTTATATCCACGTTTGTAGAAAGAAAATCTCCCTCTTACCTCCGTTTGTAAGCCGCTTCACAATGATGATATGGTTATCAGGACATGCAATCACAATCCGCTGATAAGGCGTTCCTTTTCTCCCTTCACTGCTCGCTGAAAATTCTGTTGGTTTCTCATTTGTTGCTCTGTCCATATTCCTTTTAAAAGTGAATTGTCCTTTAGTGCGACAAATTGCTCCTTTTAATTTCTTCTACTTAACGTTTTGTCCGTAGCAGGATATGTGCATTTATAATTTACATTCCACTTAAGTATGCACTTTCTTTATGTTGCATTAAGAGATTGATGTCATTAATTTTATCTCTATCACGTCTTTAGCCAATGACAGTCGCTTTTTATGTGGGAGATTCCCAAACGCCATACTTTTACAGTCCAACGTACGCTGTGCGAGGGGCTTCCCTGGATTACTTTTATTAAACTATATTTCCCACTTTCTTTTTTGATCCCTGTATGGTAAGATATTTAAATAGCGCAGGTCAATTTACCTTACCTTCAAGACAGTCCTTTTGTTCCACGTAGTCAATTTTCAGCTTCCATGTTCTAATTGTTGAAAAAACGTGGAAACGTTTAGAAGCTGAAGTCGCAGAAGCTAAGCGTTAGTACTGACTTTCTTTTGGTATTGTTTAATATTCTGTACAAGGTGGTTCTAAGTTTTGAACCTGTGGATGAAATCCTAAAGTGTGACCATTCAAATGAAAGCTACTGAGCAGTACTTTCCTTTGGTACTGTTTATCATGTAATCAAGGTGGTTATAATTTTTTAATCTGTGGATGAAATCCTAAAGTGTAACCATTCAAGTGAAAGCTACTGAGCAGTACTTGCCTGTGGTCCTGTTTGTTATGCTGTACAAGGTGGTTCTAACTTTTGAGTCTGTGGATGAAATCCTTAAGTGTAACCATTCAGTCTCTGCTAATGTTCCTTGGAAATGATCACCAGTGGAATGAATGGTGAACGTTTTGAGTTAAGTGCTAGTAACTGTCTCCATGTTACTTCACCATGTTAACCCTTGATCTCGTAATGGGCTAGCTTTTCACCCAGGGAGGAATATTGCACTGTCTCCATCATGCTACAGAAACTTGACAAAATCTTGAGGCTTGTGAAACCCTTATTAGATGTTATTAGATCGCATCTAATGAGATTAAGGAAGTAGTACATTGTACTTCTCAGAGGTTCGCGACAATGGAGAAAACTAAGAAACTGTTTATGCTAGGGTGAATTTTGATTGACTAAAATTTCATCTTGGAGGTTTATAAATATTCCTAAGTGTCTTGTGCTGCATTACAGAAACAAGAGGTCTATGATGTCTTGATTCTGGTGTAGTAGTTGATTCCACAATGGAATAGCAACACCTCTTGAGAGATATGCAAGACTTGTCTCTCATTCAACTGAAAACACTCTGGGAAAACCTTAATAGCGGAGTATCACTTAGCTATGTTACAGGCTAGCATCCTCTCCGGCTGCTTCATGCTACAGAAATCTCTATAAAAAAATCCCTTAAGAATGAAGTAACTCGTAATTTGTTTGACATTCGATAGACTAGTATCCTCTTACGGGGAGGTTGTCAGGGGACAGGGGTGTTGAAGGGATCCAAGATGTTAAATGAACACAATGTGTTAATAAACACTTCAAACTTTTGGGTGTAGTGCAAAGTCTTACTTCCATGATAGACTAGCATCCCATCCTGGGGGAAGAATTAATAGTCCTATTTTCATTTTCTTCATGCTACAAATGCTACCATCAAACCCCTGATAATACGATAAACAAACTCGTGTTCCATTCACAACGAAGAGAATTGATACTGCTGTGTTAGTCCTTGCTATTGTAACCGGAGATGGGCATCAAGCAATGGCAAACTGCCTAAGATATTTAGTCGCATACATGGCCATTACTGGTCTATCTCTTAAAATTTAATTGTCAGTACCGTGCTTTGTTTTACTTGTTAAATACTAGTAGTTACTAAGTGATTGTCTACTTCTATTGAGGTACACTTGAATTTGTTTGGTACTAACTTGCTTGCATGTGTTCGTGTGGTTGAAATCTTCAAATACTGCTATTAAAAGTATGTAAACTAATCAACACAAAGTTGCTGTTTGTTGTCCGTTAGTTAATTCAACATTCAACGAAAAGGCTTATATTTGAGATGTTCTTCGAGCTTTAATTGGTTACGTTGTCTATCCCACCGACTTGATATTTCGTACAAGAAACGAATTTTTGGTGGAACCCTCATGGCTGCTTGAGCCGGGTTGCCTGTTGCATTAGCATGTTCTAGAAGACCTGATCATAGTGTGATCCATATGGTTCTCATGCCATCTTCAGAACAGTCTAATGACAGGGGAAATCAACCCTTAAAAACAAACAATAGAGCCATTTTTTCTTCTACATGTTCTTTGACTCATTCAAGGCATTACACGGCAAGTGTCGTGGCGTTCTGTGGTATGATAGACTCTACTAGAGTCTTGATCAAATGTCTTGGTTGTCTAATGATGAGTATGGGGATTTTTAGTAATAGCGACATATCATGTTTGATATAATCCTTCCCGTCTTTCAAAAATCTCCTTCTATATAACGTTAATCTGAAATGAAACTTGCAATATTCTCTTCAGGGCTGCTCTAGACTTTAGAATTTGAAAACTAACTAAGCGTTACACTGTCCTTAGCCATGATGTTTTGTTATAGTTTCCTTGTTCGACATCCAAAACTCCTAGGGGTTGATATCTGTTTACAGCAAAATGTATACCTACCAAGTGAGATCATGGTCTTCAGATGTCCTTTCCAGCCATCAGGTGTTGTCTTTACCTCTGCTCCTTGTGTTTCGTGTGAAGATTCCATTGTGAACTGTCGTATATTGCCGTTCCCAGCTAGTACGTTTCCACTGGGCAATATTCCTTCTTGCTCGACTATCCATTTGGTAATAAATTTAGCGCTCACAAAGCTACTATGAAGACATTTTTTTGTAAAATTGTAGGTCAGCCTTCGGAAAAGTGTGTCTCGATGCCAGCGCGATCAAGCATGGATATTTTGCAGTTTTGTTTTGTCATCACTACTCTTAACTTTGTTAGATGCTGTTATTAAAGAAAAGAGGTTCCGCGTTTATAATTCTGCATAAGCATGAAACTGCTGACAAGCAGATGTACAAAATTTGTAGCTTTTCTTTATTGGCTACGTTAATTTAGAGCGATTCTGGACTAAAATTATAAAGAGTACAGAATGTTGTATGTAAAGGCTTAGTGACCACGTCCTTTTCGTTTCCGAGCTGTCCAGGTTTCGCTTTTTTCCTCCTGTAACATCCCGAGAAAGCCTGGAAACGATTTTCAACTCCCACCAATAAAATGCTCCATTAAGTGTGATTACATTTTGCATCCAATCAGAACGACCAATAGCTTTTCGCTATTGGTCCAAAGTTTAAATAGCACAGTTTGTATTTAAAACTCACATACAAAAAAGTTAAAGGGCGATGTCTGTTGCGCAAATGAAATATGTAGAAAGTGTATGGCGTTGGGTGTGTAATTATTGTACATGGAACTTGGAAATGGGAGAGCTTCAGTGGTTGTGACCTCTAGAGGTAGGTTTTTCTATCTCCTAGGCGTAACTATATAGCAGGACAACTATATTTACCAGTTTAATGTCCTAAATCAAGTAACAAGGAAAACGTTTTGTCTGTCAATTTGATTGTACACTGTGGACATCCAGTCTAACCTATCACTCAGTACTTTGTTACTGTTGTTCTTTCAGTCTAAGTATGGAGAGACAGTATAGGGACTGAACGTTTTTAAATGACCCTTTTAAAACAGAATGTTTTTGTTTCCATGGATTGTTTTCATTTAGAGAGCACTGTCTTTTCTTTGATGTGAAGCGAAGTCGTCGTCAGATTTTTGTTACACCCGAGTGCGTGACGTTGCTTTCGTTGTTACTGAAGCTTCAATGTATTTCCAACTTACCAGTAGATTTCTCATCGCAAGTGCTCAATTTTCTTATTTGCTTTTATAAGAATTCTTGGTTTGTTTGCCAAGGCGCCGTTATTCATTCGAGTGTGGCATTGCTGTGACGCAGTTTTTAACTCCGAGTAAAATAGGTATTGCGCATTTGCATTTCGCATTATGTGGAATTTGACACCGGAGATAAGCTTTTCACTAAGAGAGAAAACCGATCACGGACTTGCTGAAGATTTTACATTTAAACTTACTTAGTTGACTATAAAGAGTAGTATGAAGACATCCGCTCTCTCCTTTTCATGTTGTCGCATTTTCGCGTTATGCAGTGGTTCTATGATGTCATGTAGAAAGAATGGGAACTCTTTTACAAGTTTTGTGTCTTTCTACTGTAAAGAATTCGCCAGCAATGGCTGGCTACATCTTGTCTTTCTTTCCTCGGATTACGCCTGACTCAAGAGATAAGAATGTTAATTAGTTAAACAATAGCGTCCAGGGGAGGAGCTAAGCAGTTAAGAGAAAACGAATGTTGATCTCTGTGGCTCGCGCGGTGTCATTCGTTACATATGTTTGGATTTCTCGTTCCTCGCGGCGTTAATGGATGAGCTGATGTTTTTCTTTACGTTAGCAAAGCAGCTGTATTGAATAAACGATATTTGGTTCTTTTTCTATCACAAGAACGGTAAATGCACTAAAAGTACGCGCTTATAAAAAATATACGTACATAACAAGTAAAAATTGGGTTGTATTTATTACAAAATGGCCTTACATTGACAGTAAATATTTTCTCTTCTTGACGTATTGAAATCTTCCTTATACCTTTGCATCGCCAAACACTTGACTTTCTAACTCTTTCTGTCTTGAAAGCTGTTGATAAAACAGTTTCGACCGACTATAAGCTTTAATGATAGGTGTCTTTAGCGTAAAGAGTTATCGGGCGTTTTACGTGGGCATAATGAACGTAGAATCAATATCCACCGCTGCACGAGAGGAACCCCTTTTCAGTAAGCTATTTTTATTATATCACATGCGCACTGTATTTGCAAAATATCGTTGTATCGTCCAGGTTGTATGTGTTAAATATCAGATCATTCATACTTGGACTTAACACGTACTAACTTTCAAAACTCAACTTTTAGTAAGAACTATTTATCGACGAAGGACGTGTCTCGGTTAGAGGAGAGTAATAGGTCGTTCATTTACCTTTTCTCATATTTCATTGCCGAGAATGTGCGTAACAAACGAAGATTAAGAATTATTCTTGTGCACTTTGCTGTTTTGTTTGTAGAGCGTGGTTGTTTTCGTGACTTAAAAACTGTTTCATTATTCGACTCTTAATATATAATGCACCTAGACCACACATGTTCAATAGCTATTTCAGTGTACAAAAACGAGATCGAGTATTTTCATTGCTGGATGTATGTAGTGACCACATTCACCATTTGTAAATAGTCTGAGGTGTTTTACATCTTCTTTTAGCCTTGTGCGACCGGTCCTTAAGTTTTTGAGAGAAGGAATTTTGGTGTATTAAACATACAAGAGGACGAAGAATTCGTGGAAACGCCAGGATCATTAATTGGCGCAGAAAATCTGAGAGTTAATATTTACTCACGCGTTTTGATTTAGGCCGTCTCTTTTGATGTCATGAAACAGGTTTAATGCACTGACTGCGTTTAGAAATTCCTTTTAAAATTTTGTTTTCCTTTTATAAAAGCGGCAATCGACCGACTGCACCAAACGTTGATGTGTCTTACCTCCCTATGTGTCTGCCAAGTAAGTCCTTGTAGCTTTGATTCTATGCTCACTGCTTTCGAGTAGCTTATATCTTCGTTCTATAGTTCCTTCATGAGAAGAACATGGATAATTTAGCCACTTAATAGCTACAGAAGTGCTCGTGAAACACAACGGCGAACCCTTTGATTCATTACCTTTTTTCTTTCGTTTAATTTCCACCACTGATCCTGCAGATGTCACGAGCGTTAAGATTCGTGCGTTATGCGTTCTTTCCTCGTCAATTTTGTATCCTACTTGTACCACAAATTCTGTAATTTCATGACACAAATGTGAATGCCAGAAGTGAAGGTCAAATTTGAATTGTTTGTACTCAGCGCAAAAGACTTACCACCGCTTGACGATTCGAACAATATAATGGCCTCTGGGTACGGCTCTCGACGGTTCCAAACTTGAACAAATTCAATAAATTCATTTGAAGGTTCGTCTCCCTGATAACCAGCCATTTCACATCTGACGTCGAGTGGATCGTTTCTAAACGTTTAGGATGAGCTTTGCGTCTTTGGAACGGCCCGGTTTAATGAGAATGTCATGTGCGCGAAACTTTGGCGCTGATTTGCAGATTATTATTTATCGGTATTTTTCTCGATGACGTCAGCATAATTGCATCGTGTTATGATGCTAGGTTTTTCCTACAAAATCCTTATGCTAGAACTAAAATAATTTCACAGTGATAAAGGCTTTTTTCGTGCAAGCCAATCTCGGCAAGTGTAAAAACTCAAGAGAGCCGCTTAAGCAGCACAAGTTCGTTTAACTCCTTGTTTGTGTGTGTATTTTTTTTATGGGCATATGTCTTGTTAGGTTACCCTCGAAGTCCCTATTTCTTTGAGCCGACGTGTTGTGTTTTCTTTTAGTTTATAATGAAAGGCCTAGCGGTAACAACTCCAAAGGTAGAAAGTTACTGCGATTTGCGACATTATTTAGATGCCTCTTGCTTATATTTTTGTTTAAAATTTGGGTCGGTAAATTTTCTTAATTGGTCAGCTTACATGCAAGTCAACGCTATTTCTTTCTTTCACCGTTTACCCTCTCGCAATTACTTTTCGCGATATTTACAGACCTCAATAAACCTCTTTTCGTAAGATCGTACCAGAGCGCGCAAAAGTCACAAGTAAAGTTGAGTGATGTAAATGACCTGGAATGTGCTTTTTGTGCAGCTTGGGTCGCTTTAATAGCAAAACAGCATATTACTTTGGTGAATGTCAAAGCAGTTTATTCTGTACCATTATACATTTAAAAAGGACGCTGAAACTATATTAAGGCATGAAATTATTATTATTCGCTGAAATTGTAGAGAATTCTACAGCTCAGAGGCGCTTTTAAGTAAACCGGTCAGTTTATTACATTGGAATACAAGTATTCAGTTGTAATCAGTCTTGTCTACAAAGGTCCAGTGTTTCAGAGTCTCCTGGGCATCCTGAAATAAGATCACAAAAGAGAAAGTTTTTCTCTCGCCAAATATAAATAACAGAAGTTTAGGTTGATGTAAGTGATTGCCCATATAAAAAGATAAGTAACAATGGCAAGGAACTTATCGGAATGCAAAAAAGTGCTAAAGTTACTATTTTCTGTACTTTACTTCTGATATGTTTAAGAGCAAAATTTGGGAAAACTTCGTGAAGCAGCATGTATATTAAGCCTCAGTTTTCCAGACAACTTTCTCATAACAAATCTCGTCTGAGTTTAAATAACAGCAAAATTCTCTTCGAGGAAAATGTGAATTTGTAAACTTTTCTTGGCTATTGTTTGCAAGCCTTATGATTGGTCGAAATTTTTAAACACGAGGAACCGCTCTTTCAAAATGAAGTTTAAGGGCATTTCATTTCGTAACCTGCCTTTCTGTAGCTTAATGCATTCTCTGTGTAGAAATGGAAAGATTCCTGTATGAGGGAAGTGTATTGCACACCATGATAATCAAAATTGCTTTCCGCATTACCCGCATCATTACTTGCATCATCGTAACCAGATATACAAGTCATGTTTCCCTAATAATGATTATTTTCTAAAGTATAGCCATTGCTACTGAGAAGATATTTCATGTGGTACTGTTAATAATGCTGTACAAGGTGGATGAAATCCTGAAGTGTGACCATGGTGAGGTTATTCTGAGATATAAGGCCACTCGGGAGAAATTCCCGTGCATTAATCTGTGAGAGTTATCGAGTAGTACGTAGTCCTTTCTCTGAACGTATGTCAGTGATGTTTATATAGCAATTTGACTTTGTTACATTTGCAATTACGGTCGGATAAATGCCTTTGAGTCATGTGTTCAAACGTCATAACGTAAGGAAGCAAAAAACAAAACCAAAAAAACAGTTCAAGGATGGTAGGTTTTTACCTTTTTAACGTCGCCTTGCTCGAGTTCTGGTGTGGTTTGTCCCATATCCTAAAAGGGGAAAAAACACCAATGATCTCGAACACAAAGGTTACAGTTAACGCTTTCTGTAAGAAGTTAGTTCTTTTGTAAAAGGTTCTACTGAATATCGCCTATACATGTTCTGAATTGAACTGATATTATTGTACCAAAAAGGATTAATTTAAGGATCGTAGCGGGTCACATGGATTGGGCATCATTCGATGAGAATAATCGGCATGTTCGTCAAGTTTTATTTCGGAAAAACAAAAACCCGCTTCGTTCTTAACTTTGGTATTGATTTTTATTGCCAAGAGTAAAAATTGGCAGAAAACTAGCCTAGCTCTTCTATATTTGTGAACTTTTGACTTGCAACCGCCTGGTTCATTTTTCAGTATACATGCTTACCTCCGTTTTCGTCCCGGGTAATGGTGAATATTTCTCCATTACTGGCTTGGACCCTAATAGTAGTTACAGTTTCGACGCTTAGTATTCGACCTCTGTTGACACCAAATCCTAAACAGGACAACATTAAAAGTAAGCGTTTGTGCGCATCCTGTCTTTAAAACGAAACGAGGATTAGATCTTACCTTCATTTGGTCTGGGGTAACGAGTCAATATGAAATCCGGACCTGTATAGTAAGATGTGGTGACATCGACAACCTCTTGGTAATTTGGGCTCGGCGTTGAAAAGAATGACATGTTGTTTCTTTCGTAGCTATTTTTTGGAACGTTAATCTTTTCTCGTGCTCTATGTCCACTGATGTCGGAACGCTTGCGTCGAGTCGCTGACACCAGCACGTATTTTTGAGGTGAATCACAGCTGATGCTCGAAGTGCCTTATGGGAAGGACAATAAAAGCGCACCACTCACGTTTCGAGTTTTCAAGGCCGATAATGTTACGGTTTAACAGGAAAAACGACCAATAACATCGCCTTTGATGATTCGAAAGCCCGTTAGCGCCTTCCTGGGCAATCTAACTTTTAACTCATGATTACTTTTTTTTCCTATGAGTTGTTTTGGAGTAGCATTTTGTAGTTAGTAAACTGGTTTTTCATTAAAGGCTCGACAATATTTGTGAGCTAAAGTTACACATTCTTAGCAGAGAAAACTTTGCTCATAATTTGAGTATTCCCCGGGGTAAAGTTAACCATCTTTTGAGCTCCTGTTCGCTCGCACGGCACAGGTTGTCGAGACGTCCATCACTGTCACCAACATACGACTTTACTCATATACCACTTGTCCGGGTCCAAATCATTTACAATACAAACACATTCTCGGTTGAAATTAAAGATATTTTAATAGTCCCATTTCAACAACTCCTAATCTATTTATAACACTCAATCACGCATATCAGTTGCATTGCCTCAATGAGCTTGTTTGCGCAGTGGTCTTGTCAATCAAAACCCCTCATCGAAGTATATTGGTGTCTGGGGGAAAAAACGGAAATTCGCATGTTAGCTCCATTGTATGTCTCGTCTTAAGTAGAATCCTTATTCAGGGTGCGGACGTCTTTCTCGGAGGTAAAATCCGTTTTCGCATTTTGCGTTCGATTGCAAAATTCAAAATTTGGATTTTCCAATCGAAGGCGACGACGCGTGGGAATGTTGCAAATAAATCTTGGGCAAAGCCCTTTCAAAGCCGAATGGCGCTCAGGTCACGTTTCAGGGCAATATGTTCGCCGAACACATGTCTCTTGCATCGCTTGAATGTATTTAAGGATTGTGTATTTAACTTGTTAACATCGTTACCTAGTTTTGCTCAGTGGTACTGCTTACTTTTTTGAATGTCATTTTAGTTTGCAAAGTGTTTGGTAAGGTCTGGATCTATCGAGATCAACACTCCATTAGCAATGTTTAAGTACGGAGTTTTTAGAATACCGATTATAGGGAGATGAATATGTGAATCTCGCAAAAGTGTTTAGAAAATAAGGAATAAAGATGAAAGAAAACAGTTCCGCACAACTTCTTCTTGCTCTTCTGTTTTTGCTGTATTTTTAGCTTACCTCTTTTATTGACGGCGATTTACCCATGTGAACCAAGATTTCGCCTTGTACTCTGTAAGTCACAAAAAAATCTTCAGCACTGATTTCTGTCAATGTGTTGCATCGGTTTTTACATACACAGTGTAACTTGTCAGGAGGTTTGGAAGAAAAATGCTTTAAGAAGCTAGTTTAAGGTCCTAATCATACTTCTGCCGGGATAATATTTCGCGAAGTTAGACCTAACCCTTTCTGCGGTTACTACAGCTTTAACTTGCTTCGAATCTTGCAGCTCAAATTTTAGGTCTATTGGTTTACTAAACAGCGCTAGTCTAAACGTGTTAGACTTACAATTACGTAGTGCTTTAAGTAGTGAAAGTAGTGAAAGTCGTGAAAGTCATCTCAATAAAAGATTATTATTACAGTGTTTTTCTTCGTACGTCTGGGTATAAAAGAGTGTTCAGCACGTTGAGCTATTTGCATCAAAACTTCAGATTACTAGTCTCCTCCACTGGTTTTACTATTTACAAGTAAGAAATTTGGGATTTGTTTTCGTACTCATATTTGAGCGTTCCTTAGTGTGAAGTGAGCAATCAGAAATAACTACAGATTTTTTTTCGTAGCATCGTGTTTTTAAGTAACAAAAAACAAAACAACAAGCGTCGGATGAATAGCCTTCATTACGCGATTGTCCATTCGTATTTACCTCCATTCGCATAGCGCGTGATCCTGAAGGTACTTCCATTCCGGGTTTCGATGGTTATGGTCCTTTTTATACCTATTATCTTTCCGGCGCCATTCTTCACTTTGCAGTCTAAACAAGATTTAACTAATCTGTAAGCAAATTTAAAACTCCTTGGCCAATAAGTGTAACTCTAAAAGATACTGACCTGATCTGGGCATGTATGTTATCGTGATATCCGGCGTTGATCTGAACCATGTGCCTACGTCCACTATTTCTATACGGTGGTTCCGAGGTTCGGGGGGCGGATAATCTGACATTTTGCTTATTGCCTTGCTAAGTTAAAATGAAAAAGCTTATTGCCGTTTCTGAATTCTTGGCTTATTAGTTGACTGTTAAACGCAAAAGGTAGCTAAGTGAAACTTGTTTAATTTGTCACGCATGTATTGTTTTACGGAATTCTGTAGGCGGAGTTAAAACTAGGAGAAAAACGATTTTGATCAGTTTTTTTGCTAAATTGCTTTCGCTCTTTCGATAAATTATTGTTTTTCATTGTAAACTCAAATACAATCACAAGGTTGCGAGGTAAACGTAACTTTATTGCCGACACTGATGATGATGTATAAACGACTACTTGAACTATTTTAACTGGCGTCTAAGCAAGGAATTCAAACGCTGGTCGTAAACGAAGATCTTGCTTGATTTGCGTAGATTTCTGTCAAGAATAAGCAGAATAAGAATAAGAAGCAGCTTGTGCTAGTTATGTTACGCACATTGAAGGGAAGTCAACATATACAGCGCTTAATTAAATTGCCGTTGGCAAACTATTGTAAAGTAATGAAGTCATTAAAGACTTGAGCATTGGAACTCAGGTGCTTTTTACTTTTAGTGTTTGCCAGTGTGTTAAATGTTAAAGCAGCTTCATGACGTTAGTATTGAGTCCTCTACTTTCCATTTCTTACCTCGATCGTCCAAATTTCCTTAAGGTCGGAGGCTTAGCCAAGTCCGCCTCGATTTGGCAGTGTACCCTACAATGAAAAATATTCAATAGCTTTCCCGAACATCTCTGAAGGTAGCGAAGTACGACGCGATAAACTTAGGTGCTAACTTTGTATTAACGTTCAAGGTGGCGGTAGTTGAATCTTTCTGTGTATTTACCTCCGTCTCTTCCACGGGTGATGGTATAAGTGTGACCTTCGTTAGACTCTGCTTTTACTTCAGTGATTGTGTTTACGTCAGTGATTGCTCCTCTTCGCACCAGGAAAACTATGCAGGAGTAACAAATTTGATAGGTTTGATCAGCCGAAGATTAGTCTGGTCTGTGGTAATGTCATTATGACAAGTTGAAGACCATGCCTCTGTGTATCACTGCTACTCTGCAGTCGTTGGTATTTTCGACGTTATGAGAGGTAAATTTGTTTAATAGCCATCTTAGAACCCTTTGAGTCAGGATGGTATTCTGTATGGCATAAAACCTGTGTACATTTCTTGTCGGTTGAGTGTTTCAAGCTTGTTAAATGACTTTATGAAGATACTATCTATTTTATACCTTGCTCAGTATTCGAGAAACTATGACTCCTGTTGTTTGACTCGACTGTAAGAGTAGCATATGTCTTCATGGAATTTATAATTCCACCTTCCACACGAAACCCTAAACAAGGTTACGGAAATTTTCAGTAATGCTGATATCTTTTGGCTACAAATCCATAAATCAGGACTAACTGACCTCCTGTTGTAGGGTTGTATATTAGTGTTATATCTGTCCCAGTGTTGTGTTTACCAGCATCCACTATTTCTAAAGAGCTGCTATGATCAGGTTCATTTGGATCGAAGGATGACATCGTGGCGTATTTGGATCGTTGCAATTTGAAGTTAATTTTTAGCCTTCGAAAACATCCGTTTCTCCACGCTCTTCGCCGCTAGGGACGTTTCGCGCGGAGGAACGTCTGCGACTCAGTGACAGAAATTCTATACTGATGACGTAAAATATATCCAGAATCCGGTCAGAAGCCCTGATTGGTCGACGGAGTAGTTACATTGTTTTAGCTATTGTTTACGAATGACAGGCAAAAGATAAAAGGCCACAAAGGTCAAATGTAAACGCGATGAATCTCTAACAAAACAGTCAATATTTGTGGAATATAGTCTTCTCTAGCACAAGCATTTGAGTTTTTCTGGAGCTCGTTCGCAGATGAACACAACACTTTACCAAAATCGACCAGGAGAAACCTAAAATTGAATAAATTTACATTTGGAACCCAATGACTACCGGATTTATTAAGTAAAAATTGATTTGCGTCATCAGTATGGAATTTCTGTCGCTGAGTCACAGACGTTCCTCCCCGCGAAATGTCCCCAGCGGCGAAGAGCGAGGAGAAACCGATGTTTTCGCAGGCTAGTTAATTTTAAGGGTTGTTTCTAAGTTTTGCTTCTTGTTTTCTAGTTCCGAGAAAAAATGCCTAGCAGTTGTTCAAGAAAGATATGGCAGATATAGATATGGCAGCTTCTACAGCCTCGAGTATTGTTCTTAAATCTGCTCCGTTAAGCTAATTATTATGCAAATATATATTCTGTGGGATGCATAATTTTTAATTGAAACTTAGAGTGCGCAGCAAGAGTTAAGATAGAGTACAAACTACGAACAATCCAGGGTGTGTTAAATGCGTTATTCCGATCTAATTGATAAACCTTGTTTTACCTTTGAGGCTTGATCTTATTTTCCTCTCCAATCGGCAAAATAAATCTGCTTAGCATCGTAATAAAAGTCTTACATTACGTTTGTTCAGAAAGCAACAGACACTTCATTAAACGCTTGGTATCAATCTTTATTACACCGGCACATTTTACATCACATTCAAACTCAGTTGCCTTGGCCTTTATTAAATCTTGCCTACAACTTGGTCCTTGACTTACAGTGCATCCTTCTATGTGAAAATAAAAAACAGGAAGCGTTACAGTTCGTAATATTATGCATGCGTGTCTTAGCGCAATTATCACACGAAATCAATACGTGTTCGCTGTGTTAAAAATAAGGAGGCTCTTGATGACCTAGAACGGCGTTTATACATGTCTTCAAAAATTTAACGTGTGACAGGAAACTCCCTGGAGGAGATTTGAAATACTTTTTTGTTGCGCTTCTGTTAAGACGCGAGTATTGGTAGGAAGTGGAACGGTTTGTTTGCTTTGATTGTTTCAAGTCATACCGTAGCGTTATACAATAACGGCTGTCTCGATGTTACCTTGAGATTTTCAGGTTAAGTACAAGCAAAAGAGCGTGAATACTAATTTCAAATGTTAAGCTGGTTATGTGCCAGTAATCCCAAATCTTTCTAGTTGGGGGACAGTAGATAATAAGATTTTAACTTTACGACCGATGTGAAAAATGGTTGTAGTCATACTTGCACTGTATCCTATTAACACAAGGTAAAAGGAATAAAAAGGGGTCATATTTTTCCATTACCCTTATCTTTATCGGCGCTTGTTACCCAGGTAAATTAAGAGTCAGCGCTATAAACTGTAAAATAAAAATTAATCGACATGATTTAGTTCCCCAGGTTGATTAGTTTGCTCTTTTTGGTCACCATGATACAGAAAATTTCAGAAGTGGACTTCGAAGCACGTATTACCGCCCAGCAGAGAAAGAAAGAAAAGAACATCGTACATTGTCAGACCGCTAAACATAACAGTTGAGCTGGAAGAGACATTGTTACTTATCTTAACAAGTAATTTTTGTAAATGGAACTTCTTTTCACAGGCACCCTCTTTTACGAACTTGGTTGTAAAGCCCAGATTATCTGCAATATACGTAGGGGTGCTGCAACAAAAAGGCTTTTCTTACTTTGGACTTAAACCTGTGTAGAAGTTGTAAAAGTTTAAACTTCATATTTACCTCCTCCTGGTTTACGCGTGATGGTGTAAACGGTATCTTTGTTTGATTTTACTGTCATCGTTATAAAGCTGTCTTTACGTATCAATTGCCCATCCGTCACTTGTGTTAAACTTAATTTATCAGAAATCTTTAAAAATGCCAGTCTGTAAAACAGAATTTTGATGGAAGAAACTAACCTCCAGTTGCAGGATTGCAGTCAAGTTGTAGATTGCTATCGTGAAACCACGTACCGATTTCAATTTCTCCACGGAAGGCCTACGAGGATCAGGATTCTCCATTTTTGGTGTCTTAAGTATTTTTAAATCCCCCATTCCTTTCAAATAATTTTGTGCTGGGCTTAGTAGGCGCATTATGTTTTGCCTATTTTCACGTGCGCGCCTAAATATCACAAATAATTTCTCACGTAGAAGGTTTTCTAGTTCACTGCGCTCGATTTCTTGAGTTTGGGTGAGTACTAAAGTTGTTAAGAACGTCGTTTGTGGCGAGAGTTATCAGTGTTAGCGGTATTCTGGAAAATGAAACATGCTTCCTTTGTAATAATATCAACTATTTATTTCATTAACTTCCAATAGCTTAGCACAGATGAAAATTCAGCCACGCTTTTGTCCATGAATTGCAAGGTCGAAGGTAACCATTCCTCTTCTTTTTATCTTACTCCGCCATAAATATTCAATGGCCTGCTCAATTTTTGCTAGTGTGAAATTAAGATAGTACACGGTTTATTTAGAGTGCAATTTATTTTACGCTTATTTTCGAGCCATCAAGTTGATCGAGAGAAAAGGAACATTGTATCGTCAAGAAATCACCTAAATTATTTCCCGCGCTATTTTGCAAAAGCACGATCGTTTTCTGACCTAAAAACGTAGACGCTTATTTCTCGTTGTTGTTTTGAACAGAGTGGAAGTTACGCTGGTCCTTAGTTCAACGACGTCGGCTCATCTCTATCACTGTGGAGGCTATCTACGATAAAAAGAAACGTATCTCTCTTAAATATGCCTGATAAGTGCGGCAAGTTTTCATCATTTTGCTATGACCAGGTTCATTTGTCTAGAAGAATGACATCGTGGCGTATTTGGGTTGGTCCAATTTAAAGTAAATTTCAAGGGTTTCTAAGTTTTGCTTCTTGTTTGCTAGTTCGGAGAAAAATGCCCAACTTCTAACGCCGCGAGTTCTGTTCTGAAATCTGCTCCGTTGAGCTATTTTTATGCATTTTTTTTTTCTGGGTAATGCATTGTTTTGTTGTTGAAACTTAGAGTCCCTGGCTACAGTTAGAGGGAGTATAAATTTTGGGTCTGATCCCAATTTGTTTAACAAAACACGTATTGGCTTGAAGGTTCTTCCATTTCTCGTCTCATTCCTACAACGAGTTTATAAGATAACAACAGACACTTGGTTGAACACTTTCCATCAATCTTTATTTCAGGCACCATTCTATATTCCAACATTGAAACCTAACTCAGTTGCTTGTCCTCCGTTAATACTTGAAACGTACTTACCGTAAATCCTTCATTAAGCCCCCCGGGGGCTTATTTATTCCAAGCCCATTTGAGGGGTCTTAATAGAAAATGGGGGCTTATTTGAGAGGAAGGGCCTTTTTAATTAAGTAAGGACTATGGCATCATTTCTCCGTAAAGAAATAGAATACAAAATGGGGAAGCTCGAGTACAAGAAGGTTGGAAGTCATGTAGCCGAGGATCAGCAGCATCTATTAACAGTCGTGATTGATTTATATAGTCTATCATTTGATAGTGAAGAATAATTAGGGGATGGGAGGAGGGCCTTAATAGAGATGAGGGCTTATTAACTTTCCGCCGGCTTTCCCAGGAAAGGGGTGGGGGGGGGGGGGGCTTAATAGAGGATTTACGGTAACTTAGTTTTTAGTCTTAGTTTTTCGTGCATTCCTCTCTGGGAAAAAAGGAAAAGAGGGGCACGCAGTCAGAATTGTTAAACACATATCCTTTCGCGTATTTTTCTCTTTTGTGCACTTTAAAAAAAAAAGAAAAGAGAAAATAAAAGAAAGAAAGTGGGGGAGGGGACAAAAAATATTAGGGAGGGGTGTTATCACTGAAATTAAGATGTTATAAAATATAGTTTGTGTTATTTTGTTGATATAGTGTATGAAGGAAGGGGGATGGGGGGGGGGGGGGGGTGGGTGATTAAGGAGCGAGGGGTTTTGTTTGGGCCGGGGGGGGGGGGGGGGGGGGGGGGGGGGGGGGGGGGGGGCTTAATAGAGGATTTACGGTAACTTAGTCTTTAGTCTTAGTCTTTCGTGCATTCCTCTCTGTGAAAGAAGGAAAAGAGAGGCATGCAGTCAGTAATGTTAAACACATATGCCTTAGCGTAATTGTCTCTTATGTGCACTTTGAAACGTGCAGGCCTCCGTAAGCGACACAAATGCATTCTGTGTTTCACCAAAATATTAAATGACTGAAAGTTTTTTGTAACGTTTCAATACATCAATGACAAAACTGTGTTATTTCGTTGACATATGGACGTACCAGATATACTCTTTTATGGCTGTGTTTTTCTTTATGCTTCAAATAATGGAAAAAAAGGTTAATCGATATCTAGTTATGCCTCAAAGAATGCCAGGTGTGTGAGGGCAAATGGGAATAGCAACGACGACAGTCGACATACCAGTAATGTAAACATTAAAATAATGTTAAAACATCTTACCTTTTCATTAGCGGCGTTTTACCCAGGTTGCAAGGGAGTTGTTTTCATAACCTGTGAGAGTAAATGATCAAAAAATGATTGGGAAAGCTAGAATGACCAGTTTGTACCTTTGTCAGCTTAATGACATGACAGAAGGGGTTTTAGGTTGTGTTGTTTCAGGTGATGATGCTAAACGCTCATTAGAAACAGTCGTGATACTGAAAAAGGTTAAGCTTTGAAGCATGCGGAAGCACATCCACACATCCTACTTGTTTAACTACTCCTTCACAATCAAGAGTGCACCGATTAAGTACTTTTAAAAATTTCATTCGTCGAAATGTATTAGAATTGCCAAAAAGTGTTTATTTAAATGGCCACCTCACTAGATTTCCTCGTCTCCAGAATTGTCTTCGAGAGTGGGTAGGTTCAGTTAGGTAAAAATTAATGTACAAAAGGTTTCATCCTTGCTTATTAAGATGTAGCTACTATACTTAACATGTAATTAGTGGTAGTTCAAGTGCAAGTTTTAAGTTTATTGTTTATATATAACGATATATTTACAATTGTACTGACCTACGGGTAGCTAAGCTAATCGAGGCGGGTCAGTCTCACAAGTTCTATTTTTTCACTATTTGGAAAGAGTTTGACAAAGAGGGACTAGCAAAGTAAGAGTTTTGTAAAGAAGAGAAACGTATAAGAATGGCTTAATATTAAATGAAAAAAAGAATTAAAAAAATAAAATAATTATGATATGTTAGGTACCTAGATACAATTTCATAGATACATATATATATATATACAGAAGTGACAGGTTAGCTTACGCTACTTTTGGTTAAAATTTTTTAAGATTGGCCATCATTTTGTCATTACTGATATCGATAGTTTTCTTCGATTTTCAAAATACCTAATAATGCTCCTTCGAGTTTTTTTCTGAAGGTCACATCATTGCGCCAACACGAGAGAAAGCATTTTTTTACGCATCAAATCTAGATTTCTTTATGTAAAAATGTTGGGAAGTTGAAGAGCGTGTAAAATAGAGATGTGTATTTGATGTCGTACATCGTACATTAAGTCATTGAGATGGATTCACAATTAAGTGGCAGTACTTTTACGAATAAAGGAATGGCATGATCTTGTCTGTTGGCAAAATATATTAAGCGTAATGCACATTTCTGAAGGATAATTATTTTGTCAAGATACGTTTTGCAGGCGTTTTCCCAAGGAATAAGACCTTGATAAAGTGAGTTGTTATCATTGCATTGTAGACGTTCACGAGAACAGAAAAAGGTACCAAGTGTCTCAGTTTAGATAGCACCCCAATGGGTTTATTTATCTTAGTGGTAACTTTGACAATATGTTTCCTCCAAGAAAGATTCTAATCGGTTAAGACTCCTAGATAGTAGATCTTTTCCTTCAAGATTTACACTTGGTGTAATTACCAAATATATAAATTCGAGGAGTGTTAGGGACTTTTTTGTAGTTGTTCATTTCTGCATTTTTATGTCCGTAACATTGTGAAATCGCTACTTTGAAGTGTTATACTGTACGATTTTTTCTTTATTTCGACTATTATCTTTGGATAAGTTAGAAAGTTTGAATTCATAGTCACTGACCTCCTCCAGGATGGCGCGTGATGGTGTACTCGTCTCCTTGGTATGTTGTCATGTACATCTTTACGGTTACTTCTTTGTTTACCATGTATCCGCCAGTCACTTTGGTTTCTAAGTGTTGAGCTTATGTATCAGTTATCTTGATAATTTGGTCTATAAAGCAGTACTATTGCGGAAACTAACCTCCTGTTGCAGGATTGTGTGAAACTGTTAATGCAGCATCCTTAAGCCATGTGCCCACATCCACTACCTCCACCGAGGGGTTAAAAGGATCGTCAGGTTCCATTCTTGTTGTTTTGTTTTGGTTTTTCTCTTTCAGTTTTCTGAAAGCTTGTGGATGAGTGATGATTCAGACGTATTATTTTATGCCTGTTTTTGCGCGCACACTTATAAATCACAAAACTGCTTCGCTAAGCATGTATTTATTCAAAGTAGGTCTTTGTAAAAAGTGGACTTTTACCCTGGTGGGCGGGTTAACACCTAAGGAGAAGACCGACTTTGAACGGATGTGTTTCTCTTGGGTGCTGTCTCTTTTTCGCGTGCAGCAACGAGAAAGAAGTAACCAAGAAAACGTTTGATTTTAGACTACAGTTACCTCCATTTGGCTAAGGAGCAACGTTGAATGTCTTTCTATTCCGAAATTAAGCTTTTACAGAGGTTTTAGTAGCCAATATTCTTCCTATGTTCTGTTGCACTTTACAATCTAATCAGGATTTGTATTAATGAATGACTCTTAATTGTAGGACTTTGCTTCCTTTAAAATTCTACAGTTAGCCATCAGTTAGCTGTTATTTACTAACTTTAAGCTAAATTTTGTACTTGTTTAAGTGTATGCAAGTCAAAAGAATGAACAGTGGCCTAATTAACCGCCCAAATATTAAAAGTAACAGGCAAGTGTCCCAATCGCGCGCGCTGCTCCTCCACTTGCGCGAAGCAGTTGTTCGAATGAGTTGCAAATAGCAAATGTAATGTACCGATCTCTGCTAGGCAATGAGGGCTTGTTTAAAGTTCTGTCTACTCGCATGGTATTTTTTAACTTCGTTGTTCAAGATGTTTGTTTTTTATTTCGTTAAAAATATCACCACAGACACTTGCTTGAACATTTTGTCAATCTTTATTGCACGCGGAATTGTATGTTACATAACTGAACGCTAACTCAGTTGCTTTGGCTTTCTCCAAGACTTCCTAATACAATGACTTGGTCTCTACAACAAAGGAGGCCGTAGATCCTCATGCTGAGTCCAACGTCCTCTGTGAAATTATAAAAGAAAGGCTTGTAGTTATTACTTGCAGATATAACGTAGCGCAATCTAATCACGGCGTGTAACTCTTAAATGTAAGGCGTCGTTGGTAAGACATGAATTTTGGGTTTAATGCACGCTTCACATGACTGTTACACCACTGTAACGTCAGGATTGGTTTCTTCGTTTAATTTTTAGGTGGCTTTTGACAAACCAAAACTGCGTTATTTCATTGACAGATCAATCATAAAACAAAGCCGTCCAGGTAACTATAAAATCCAAATTAAATCAAAACTCGTGCGCAAACGATACTCTTCCATCGCGGTGTATTTATCAACGCAGCTAAACCATCGGATAGCTTTGCACCAGAAAAATGCGAACAACAAGGATATAATGATCCACGATATAGTATTCAGCGTCTCACCTATTACTTGCGGCGTTTTACCCAGGTAAACCATGAGTTGTGTTCATAAACTGCAACAAAAATAATCAAAAATGAGACTGTTTGTTGTATTGATTAGTGTCTGCATAAAACACCGATAAGAAATCTCTAGTTGTTGAATCTTTTGTAGTTTTTATTTATGACAATTAATTCGTGGAGCAAAATTAAAGTGCTTCGATTCCTAGGTACGCTTCTTGGTCGCGCTCTTTCGCGAGGCTGTTTATCAAGAAATATTGTTGAAAACTCTTTTTTTAGTTTATCACTATTATTATTTAGTTTATTTTAGTTTTATCTATATAAGAGCATGGTGTGAATTTTATATTTACCTCCGCCTTTGCGGCGCGTGATGGTGTAAACTGTGCCCGAGTTCGTCTCCAGTGTCATCTTTATGGCCTTTTCCTTTAATTGTCCACCTTCCACTTCGATTGCTAAGTGGATAACGTATGTATCAGTTCTAGTAAAACCTTCGGTCTCTATTGCGAAATTGTGATAGACACTAACCTCCTGTCGCGGGATTGTATTTAACTCTTAGAGATGGGGAATCATGGAAAGATGTTCCCACTTCTACTATTTCTGCGGATGGGTTATAAGGGTCGGGATTCTGCATTTTTGGTTTCTTTAGTTTCTTAAGTGTGGCGTCTTTCTGATAATTTGCTGCAACGTTAAGCAGACGTATATGTTATCCTGATTTTGCGCACACACCCATATATCTTAAAATTGCTTTGCTAAGCTTATAGCTTATTTTTATTCAAATTGCGTCTTTTGTTAAAAGGAAGTATTGGTTTCTTTGCCTCTCAGTGGGCGGAGTAAAACTTAGGGAGAGGACCGATTCTGAACAGGTCAGCTTCATATTACCAACTTAGTGATGGTTATAGCTAATTAGCAACTTGTCCTTAAGCTGAGCATAGACTCTCGGAAGTCTTGAACGTTTTGAATTTGCTTTTATTGCTCGTACACAGGGTTTTAAGTTACACCATTAAACTCATAAGGTCCTGCTCATAAGCCTCTCCGAAGTATTGTGGTCTTCCTTGTCATGTTTAAGGCTCTGTGAATAAAACACACACACAAAAGATTCGTGTTACATCACGCAATTATATTTTTTCATTTGTGTAACACCCTTTAATATTATAATTCAGGATTTATTTTAAAAGAGCAAGAAGTTTTTAGTCATAGTACACTGAGCTAAGTTCAAGAGCATCAGGAAGCTTGCATAGCAGACAACCTCCACCCAGTCTTATTGACTGGAGCTTCGCTCAATTTAACCATTTTTTTAACAAATTGTGCAATCAAATATGACAACTTTATTGTCAAAATAATAAGACAAAAGGGTGCCAACAGAGAAGAGCTAAATCCCATCCGAATTTCCGAATGAAGAAAAACTGACAAATGTTGACCTACCTTTAGAGTTTCACCTTTCTTCCATCGTAATAAAAATCGTTACCGCTGGCATCGAATGTGTATTCTGTTAAGGTAAAATCGAGGGCTCAAGACTTATTCCAACAAACAGTTCCCAAATCGGCAATTATGTACATGTACTGTTCAAACAATTAACACTTACACACTGAAAACTGCTGAAGAAATTTAAAACTTTTTTTATCTCTTTAAAGGCTGTAAATGTATTAATTATAATCCTAGCGGCAAAAATAGTGTCTGAAGCATGAATGAATAGGTTTTCAAGGTATCGATGAACGCCATCATAAGTCAGATTTGTGGGAATACGACTTAGCCTGTGAGCTTGTTGGAAGAATAAGGTTGCAATCGTCAAGACGTACCTCCATTGTCTCTGTATCTTTTAACTTCTAAGAGGTTCGCTTTGGAAGTAACAATCTTAAGTCTGTGATAAGATCGGCCGTTTCTATACTCCTCTTTGCTTTCAAACACGTTTCCATTAAAGACTTGAAATTCTACGGATGGAAAAAGATTTTGTTCTTAAATGTTTGTTCCATACTGATCTTGAAGCACCGGGCTAGCAGTCTCGCTGAACGTCTCGTGTGGATTGTGGGTTCAAAGGAGACTGCTCTAAGACTGTACATAAACTGCAACTTACCTCCTTCTGGAGTGTAAAAAATTGTTACTTCTGCAGTGTCATCTTCGATTCCTACCTGGATTACCTCGCAGTATCTAGCATCGGGATCTTCGGGCTGGTTTCCACTCATTCCTGTCCTCGAAAAATGCTAAGAGGCTAATTTCACCTGAAAATTCGTTTCGTGCGAAAACGTCACGCATCAGGTCAGATACCGTGTTCGAAACAGGCTGATAATTTGAGCGCAGCGATGCGTCCGGAATTATGCGATTTTGCGCGCTTTTGTAATAGGTTATTTTTAGTCACGATCTGTTATTGTAGCTCGTACTCTAATTAAAATAGTGGCCCTAGATTTGAGAGTAGTGAGATTTTAGCTTTGATCAAACTCAGCCTTTTTCTTTTACAATAGATTGGCAAGTTGCGTCTTTAAGTTATCAAGATGTGTTGTAAACTTGAATTTTTCATAAAAGTTGACACTGAATAGCATTTCCAAGAATATTTAGATACTTTTTCCATCTTTCACCTTCATACTTACTGACAACTGTAGGTAGTTCAGCCAAATGTATCTGTCATCTTACGTTTATTGACACTCGCCCACGTTTTGGCGTGCGCGCTGCACTAGAAGAACATTCAGTGTATTTTTTGTAGCTCAAAACAGATAACGCGCTGGGAATGATAACGTATGTATGCTAATCAATATTGATGGCTTTCGCTTATACTCGAAAGGAAGATTGTGCGCATTTCGCTTTGGAGTATTGTTATTGTATTGCAATTTGTAAATTGAAGTCTCTACCAAATGTTTCAGTACACAGCTACTCTGTCAAAATGGGCTATGCGTTATATTTTTATTTACGAAAAAAATGAGAATGTCACTTTGACCATACTAGACTTCCTTCGTTTCTTCGAGGACACATTTCAACGCCATCTTTTCATAACTCGGGAAGGAGTCATTTTTACAAACACAGTACTGATTGACATAGACAGTTGCAAATAAACTGTGGATTTTATTGCAATAATTTGCACATTACATGCCATGTTGTATCTGTGAGTCCTTGCGTATTTTGTCTGCAGAAATGTTGAGGTGTCCTGCCATCTGCACAAAGTCTGCGTTAGAAATCAACAAAAACACCGCGTTGAAAACGAGAGTACAGTTCAAGATACGACTGATATATTTAGTTTATTGGAGGAGACAGACTATAGACGATTGTTGCTCCTACAATGTATAAATGTCGCAACCGTTCATCAGTCAATGTTATTCTTGGCCGCACTTGCATACTTTTCAATATTACTGAATAGCGTTAAGATGGATTTGACTGTGTATATGGTTGATGGGCTCTTTCGCTTATCTTTACGCACCTAAGGACCCACCTTGGTTTCATACTGGATATCTGTTCCAACGACTCACCCGATATCCAGTAGTCCTAATTTGGTAACCTTGAAAAGAAAACAAAAGATGTCAATGCCCAAAACTATATCACCAAACCATCTCTACGACTTTGGAGCGTACCTCCATTGTTGAGGCGAGTTATTGAAAACGTATTTCCTTCCTGTCCTAACCGGTGAATCGCAATCGTTATTGTGCGATTACTTGCCCAATCATCTTTTACTTTACAACCGCCAAAAATCCGAAACTCTGAAAATGAACAGAAATGAGTGTATTTTAATTATATCGTCTAAATTTACTTCTCTTACTCCCTGTCTGAATCTTGCGTCATACTTTGTGATATATATCCTTTCTTTTGATAATATTTTGAAGGAAAAATAACATACCCTGAGTTTGAGATATGTAGTATATTGTTACCAAAGGAATCCCTGGAAAGTGTTGTCTTTCAACCTTGACAATTTCGAAGAAATTAGAGGAGAAAGGATCTTGTGTTTGGTATGCTGCCATGTCGCACTTCTGTTTCAGAGAACGAAGCTTCACTCGGTGTTGGTCCTTCTTGTAACGTGTTTTTCTGTGCGCCGTTGGCTTTAGTTTTTCGGTCACGTGCAGTGCGGACACTCTACCCGTTGGCACTAATACATTTCGCCCGCTTCTTTTGCTCCAGCCAATCCTGAATCGCTTCATAGCCAGGCTCTTACGTTAATTTCAACTTCATACCTTAACTTCGATTCATACCTGAATTACCTTGCGGTATCTATCGTTTAAGTAAGGTAAACATAACTTGCAAAAATTTTGGCTGTTAAGGTTCTTAATTAGGTGTCTATTTTCTGAAGAAAACAATGACGATGTACCCAAGATAATTTAGCGGTATTCAGCATATTCCTCGTATAAGTTCTGCATACCAAATTAGTATTTATGTAAATTTGACTGTAGTCTAACTTGAGACAATTCAGGTTCTACCTCGCAGTCTTTTATTGTTGGAGCCTTTCTTCTCTTCCTTTTCTTTGCGTGCTGTACGCGTTAGCTTCCGACGCCTTTTAATGACGACAACTATATACATATGGCCTATCACAATGTACCTAGTCGTAGTCTGATATGTTGACAATTTGGAAATTTTATAGTTATCAAATTGTTTTGCGTAAACAGTGTTCGTATAAACCTAGTTTTATTGAGCGCGTAATACGTGTTCGGCTAATCAGTCGTTTATTACTTTTTTCTAAATGATAGTTTAGTTTCGCCGAATTTTTTTATTTGGGTCAATATGCGAAGAAATAAGCGTGGCTGTCTGGTATCAATCACCGATCGCAAATTGTCCGGTCAGTTTCTAATTTTAAATTAATCGTCTTATTCATTGAGGCCCCCTTACCGTCAGGGTGACTTATTTGTTATCTCAGAAACGTAGGTGGGAGAAATCATATTTTGATCAGATTGAAGCGCTTCCTGCACCAATCTTCGAACTCAGTTGTCTTTTTTACGGCAAAAGTGATTGACGCGGGTTAACACACATCTTTTATTGCTCAAATTTAAATTTGATTGTTGAAATCTCACAACAAGGAAAAATACAAGATTTTTCCTTTTCAATTACTTCTGCTTCATTGTCTATGTCCTTGAGCTTTAGTGCAAGTGTACCAAATTTACCCAATACCAAGCTGCAATTGGAAGGAAACAAATATGTTTGTGTCAGGTCGCCATTCTGCAGCAATCACAAGACAAATGTTTACCTACTTTGGCTCTAAGGCGCAGGAAACAAGTGAGTAGGCCTGCTGCTCAGCAGATGATAACGAACAAATATGGATCTTACTGTCTTTAATCGTTGCTTTCCCAGCGCGCGAACATTAATGAAGACATCCGAATTATCATATTGCGCTTTTAAGATGAGAGTCAACGTTAGGATGTTTGGCTTTCTACATTACCTCTAATTGAATACAGTGTAACGAATGACGTTTTTAATGGCCGTACCTCCTTTTACCCGCTCACGAAGGTAACTTCTTGTTGTAGCCAGTATCCCCCCGAAATAATTTCAAACCCTGCCAAAGAAATGTAGACTGTTAAACACTGTTCGTTCAATACAGTGAGCAAATTTAACAGAAATTCACCTTCACCGAAGTTTGCGTCTTCGTAGCGGTTAACATGTGTGATCTGCGCTTTTGAAGTGACTATTTTCAGCATCCAAAACGATCTGCCGTTTGAATGAGTTTTGACTTTCTTCGCCAAGTATCCGTTGTAACTTCAAAATCTGAAGAGGCAAATAACCGATTCGAAATGACATATTGTGCAAGGGTCTATGAAACAATTGAAGCCCGATACAAACTATACGAACCCTTCTCCTAACAGCCTCGCAAAATCCAACAGCCGGTGGCTCATCTTTTTCTCTTGTGGAAATTTTACCAATATTGTGCGAGACGACCAGAGAGGGTGCTCGGTAAAAGCGAGGACTCTTTAACAATCTTTTCTTTAGCGTCTTTTGTCAGTTGCGCATGTCGCTCATTCATGCAATTGGTCAACAAATTCGAGAGCATTTTTACGTCATGGTCTATTTTTGAATCATAAGAGGGAGGATATCTGTGGCCAAGCAAGAAAAGAGCTCATCACACTTGTACACATTTCACAAGACAAACAAAATTTTATTTTGCTTCAAATATACACAGAGAAACGTAAACAGATTCTTGTTTGCTGAGGGCTGGTGCTCTTGAGTAATCTGCAAGTGAGAAAAAAAAGTGGGTTTTTTGTAGCCCTAACACGATCTAGATTTATTTCTGTTGATGAAACGGCATCCAACACCTACAAGTGGTGTTGAGCTTTCCGGAAAACGTTCATTCATGTAAAGTTGGATCATGGTAGACCTATTTAGTTCGAATTAAGAAACAAAAGAGAATTATCTCAGATGAGAAATAAAAAAAGAATGAGCAGAGATGATTCCAATTTTTTTCTCGATTCGAAGTGAATCGCCCCACAATGATCCAACATTATATCAGCGAACGTTTCTTGGGGCGCACAATGGTACTGGTAATTTTTTTAGATACAATCCGTAACAAAAGTATGACCTTTAAAATTAACTGTACTTTCATTTCTTCATATTCACTCTTTTTGCAAGGTGATTGTAACTAAGGAGGTTTCGGATGACATCCTTATGTGTGACTAGTTGATGAATGAAAGCGGTTCACACTTCTTACATGTAGCTCCTTTCGTTCTATTTTCACTAGTTCAAAATCTACCAGTCTACTTTCGCGTCTGTTTAAACGACTCCTTACTGAGAGGGCTAGCATGACAAAGGATTGATTTTCCTACTTACCATTCATCTACCCATACTTCAGACTGGTCCACCGCTAAACTCATTGGTTCAACGGTGTACTTGTTGTGTAGATCACGGACTTGAGCATCTCTCTTTATGGTGATAACACTTCCATGGGAAGCCAGCACTCGTATCTTTTCTAAGTGATGTCGATGGACGGGCTTCTCAGTCAGAAAACCGTTATCAACATAATATTCTGTAAAGAGAAAACTTTTCTTTTAGTACTGGTCTCCATGCGCATTGCATAAGTAATCCTTCTAATGCGCCCGTACCTCCAGGTCGCCCAGGCTTTCGGTAAACATTGACAACTCCATGGGTTGGTTACCATATTTGAGTATTTCGTATTTGTGTCTCAACGCAGGTTCGTTAGGCTCGCACAAGATGAATTTTCTAAAACTTTGCACTGCAGGACTTGGGGAGTGTTCCACAATTACGTAGTTTGAAGAACACGAGAACACCACCAAGTTAACTGCATTTTATACTCTGCTAATTCATTGTGCAAAGGTAGGCCAATCAAACTTGGCCACGAAATAAACTCTGTATTTTTGGTAGTATTACATCGTTAAATCGAAGAATGTGACCAATAGCAGCCTTCAGGATGGGGAAAGTCCGGCAAATTCCTGGCGACTTCTAAAGGTGATTATCATATGCCTCTCCCGCCTTTGTAGTTACGTGTACAAAAAAATGCAAGTAAGCACATTTCTAAATTATCCAGTTAAATAAATAACATAAGTAATGTGAAAACTAAAGCTTCTTCTACTTTGTCAATCGTAGAATAACGGTTTTATTCTTTGATACAGATAGAAAAATGCAAAAGGCTATTGTTATCAAATGTGCTGCAAACTTGAGCTCTTATGGCGTCAGAAGAACGTAAGAATAATTCATATCTTCCAACAACCCGAGACGTCGACGCTTAGTCAAACCAAAATCAATTTCTCCTGCCCCTAACAACTGTAACAATACCGTGAATAATCGATAACTCAAACCTTTAGCTGGCTCAAAGTACATTCGAGCTCACTGAAATCAGATCACTGTTTACTAATTTTACCCTTGACGAGAAACCGATCATTTGATAATAGATTGTCATAACTAAAAGCATCCTTCTTGAACCTACACGTTTTAACACAAGCTTCTAAAAAGAACTAGTTTTATTGCATCGGCGAATTAGCAAAATAAAAAGTTAGCGTAAAACAAATTAGATGTACATAACATATTTTACCGTTGGAAAGTGCGAGATAAGCTGTTTGGAGGATGATACTTTTCTGTACGTTTATAATTTCGTCGTTCACGTTTTAGGGAGAAAATTCAATTCATCGCTATAAACAGCAATATGCAGAAGCCTGTTCTTGTGTTTGTGGAAGGGCAACATAAAGCCCATCATAATGAAAAGGCGATATTTATCGAAAGAGAACAACAAAATTGGGGTAGCTGTCACTTCCTAAGTAAAATTTCTATGTGAGATTTATACCTTTTCCAAGCATCAGTGCTTGAAATGCTTTCACTAACTTTGTATACTTCAGATCATAGATTGTCTTTGTAGACGTAGCTGTTATCACTGATTTCACAACTGAGTCTTGCACCATATCGCACACCTCGGCGGTAACGTTGTCACACTCATGAGGCCTACATTATCACAATCACGTTCGTTTTGGAAACATGTCGCAGTTTAACTTTTTGTCATTTCTAAGGGGCATTTGTGTGAAATATAAGTTCCCCTTCAGTCAATGGTAATAACTAAGAGTTGTTAGACGTTTCTCTGGACGTGTTATTATGGAGAAATTATTTTGATGGCCTAGCAGAGAAAATGACTTCGTGTAGAATTTCTAGTGTAGTACACATGTTTCTTACCGTAAATAATCGTCATCAGTCATGACTGCGTCTTCCAATCTAAGATGAGAAGAAAGTTTCTTGTTAATGGTTTAGCACTCATAGTATACCTGTGGACTGTACATATTACAATAAAGCGTTGTGGACCTCTTATCAGAGTTATAGTGCACTTGCTCATCAATGTAAATAGAATGTGATAAACACACTGTAGGAAGAGATTACGTTTAACATGCTTACCATTTCGATGAGACCGACAACTCGCAGCGAACCAAACAGGGCTTAGTATAAATGATCCATGTACCAAAAAATTAGATCTACTTTTTGTACTACCATCAAGAATACTAAAGGAAAGTACTGCTCAGTAGCTTTCAACTGCATGGCACACTTAAGTATTTCGCCCAAAGACTCAAAAGTTAGGCCACCTTGTACAGCATAATAAAAAGTACCACAGGAAAGTACTTCTCAGTAGCTTTCATTTGAATGGTCACGCTTTAGATTTCATCCATAGCCTCAAAAGTTAGAACCACCTTGTACAGAACAAGAACCTGTGCCACATGAAGGATCAAGCAGGGACGCACAGTAACTTTCATTTACATATTTACTCATTTACACAGGTAATCCAAACCCATACCTTCCTCTCCATCATAAAGACGATCATGTCCTAATGTTCAGGACCATTACTTCACAAAGGATCTTACTTTCACCTATTGCCTTTGTAAATTCACCAAAGTAACAATCCTCACGAAAAATGATCCCGCGTGGACTACTCGAAACATACGTGCAAGGAAAGTTGTTATTGTGTTCATTGATGATCAAAGTACACCGATAATGAACGCCTGCACGAAAAAAAAATTTCCCCATTTTCTTTTGCATGTTCATGCCGTTCATCAATATAGGCCCAGACCCAACAGAAAACGTATCTGGCCATATCAGAGTCTTTAATATGGCTTGAAAACAGTTAAATTTGCTCTAAAATTATCAAAGCTTAGATTCTCCTCACGTACACCTGTCATCCTAAGATGTCAAGTGTGCATTGGCTTAGATCGGCGGCGTGTCGCCTCACCTTGGAAATTTTTCAACTAATACAAGGCTTCCTTTGTTTTCGCTAAGGAAACATTTATATAAAGCTTGTGCGGTTTGTGTTGTTTGGTACGTCAATGATAAAGTATGTGCTTAGGTAGTAGTTTCGATTTTAACAATAAAAATGTTGTAAATTTTTAAGAACTGAAAGTGCTAAGGTTATCATATTTTACACGGAATGCGCTTGCAAAGCAAACCTATTGTTATTTAGCACGCCACAGTAACAAATTACCTTATATGGTCATTTGTGTTCTTCATAGCGACCTGTCTGATCGATCACAGAGCTGACACAAGGCGCTAAAAATCAACTTTTGGGATTCATAACTGTCCAAAATCTTGATACTATTCGTGACTAGTCTTTGCGTGCAGTGAGTTCTATCTACTTAAAAATCGATGTTAGTGGATAAATGCAAACAAAGTTACCGCAGACACGCTGTCTTTCACATGTCCTGGTCCGCTGGGAGCTGATTGGTTAATACGGGATATTAGCGTCCACTTGTCAAAACACTTCAATTGGGGGCATCCCTTCAGGCTGTTTTTAAGTATTAGTATTTACGTTATCTGCTTTCCCACGTTTATTTCTAAATTTAATATTCGCTAGTGTTAACGCTACAGTGCACATCTTTGCTTTCCTAAGTAATATGGCTGAATGTACTGACGGAAAGAATCTAGAAACGCAACTCAAAAAGGTTGCTTTAGCGACTGCATGTACGCTTACAGGACCAACAGGATATGAACCTCCGGGTCCAAGTGGTTCGTTTTGTGAGACTAGCAGCTCGTGTGGTTCCTTAACTTGTCATGCAGTGCTAACATTACTTCTTTGTTTAACAGGCCGCGAAATTGAGAGTTTAGAAGACAAAGTAAAAAGAGTCAGACGAGAGGGCAGTGTATACAAATGGAAGGAAAAAGAAGAGAGAGACGAAGAAAGGTAAATGACAGACCAATGATTGTTTTTATCTAAGGTCTTTCACTCTTTCATCGCTCCAGTCGAAAACTGAATCAATATCTAGTTTCATTTTCCTACCACCGAATAATTCTTCCAGAAAGGTGCTGCTCGATGCGCCCAGGACTTTTACTTGAATTTGCACTCTAAAAATTTCGTCGATCGACACAACACAAAAATTTGGTGTGTTAATTAATGTGAGTGTACTGCGTTTCAGGACCGTTTCAGCTCAGTTAACGAGTTCCTTATCGTACAGAGACCTATGTAAATAAACATTTGTCAGTGACGCTGTGGTAATCTTTAAAACCATTTGCATACGTATTGGCAGGACATGAATTGTGTCTGTATTTCTCTTTTGAAAGTCTCTTTAGTTTCAGTAGAGAATTGTTGTTTGACGAAGAATGAAACCATATGTTATTGTTGAAAACGAGTCAGACATTTCCGTATTTAACTTTCGACACTAGAATCTGATCTATCTTATTTACTTTCAGGCAAGACATAGCCAAGAATAGAGAATAGAGGTCCTGTCTGGATGAAGGGACATCTGCTATTAACTAAGAAAGATCCTGACCTGTCACAAACCACCTTGTGATCAAGGAAGATGATTTTTCATTCATAGAGTGGTCATTCAGGCAAGAACGCCTTACAGTTCAGAAATATTTTCTTTTATCTAGCCCTTAACCTTCTAAAGTTTCAAAGAGTTACTATTATGGCTCTTTTAAGAAGAGAAGATAAACCGAGAGTACCATATGATCGTACTGCTTAATAACATTTTTTTTGAATGATAAGGATCCCAGATTTTTTCCACAGACTTAAAAGCTCAATACACCTTTTAAAGCGTATCAAATACGAATGTACTGCTTAGTGTAGCCTTATTTTGAGTGCTATGGCCAGTTTTTATAGTTTTATTCACAGACAAACTGTTGTTATAGTCATAAGATACATTTCAAAGAAAGACTACTACCTGAAAGTTCTTGTCCCTTTCCTTTCACTTGAATTGGCAAGAAT